ATCTGAACTCAGCTCGCCTTGAAGAAACTCTCAGTTTTCCATTGATCATGTGCTGGGTTTTCAGCTCCTTAAACATTAGTGATTTCTGGAGTGTAGGCTTGGCTTAGCTGCTGAATGTTTGTAGATGTATAAAGCAGCTGATGTTTTTCCCCCTCCTAACAGGATTTTGGGCACTGTTTCTTTGGAGAATTTTATGGGAAACATTTGGGCAGTGTTTCCTGAGCTATTGGAGGGCTGTTGTTCGTGTCCGGTGCACCCTGCACAACCTGATGTTCTCCCCGGGGCAGTCCGTGCGGCTGGGAGGTTGTCGCCCAAATCCGAACATCTTGGTAAGATTCTCCCTTGCATGAGACTGTTAGCAACTCTGTCCTAAATTTTCATCCTGCCTAGGAAACCTTTCCAGAGAAGGTTTTGCTTGAAAAAATTCTCTTTTCACAGATCAAAGCTTCTGCTCTTCTGCTCCTATTCATCACTTCTCCCATCAGGAGAAGATTTCTGCCTGGGAGATGACTTGTCAGTGCCCTCCAAAGAGCTTTTGTAGCATAAGGAGTTTTTCCCCTTTTTCCCTTAAGTTTCCAAGGAGTTAAACTTGATTTTGGCTCTTTTTTTCTTTCTTTCTCTGCCCCCTGCCATTAAAGAGAAGTTTCTGGCTGAAAACCTCTCTTCTCCCAGCTCTCCTGAGCGCTGGGGGATGCTCAGCAGAGGTTGCTGGTGTTGATATCAGCCACATAGCCACTAATGCCATTGCTGTGAAGAAATTCTGGCTTCTGCAGGCAAAATCCATGCTCCTGCACCTTCCCCATCTCTGGTTTTCCTCTCAGTTTTCCCCTCTGGGATCTACCTGGATCTTGTATCTCCCTCACCTGCTTCCCGGCTTATCTCCTTTCAGTTAAAGAAGGGTTAATAGGGTTTTATGTATGAAAGATTAGTCTTGAGTTGGTTTCTAGCAGGCTGGGAATTACAGGGCCCCCAAAGCCACGTGGGGATTGTTAATTACTGCCCCCCATGTTCCCTGCTGCTGGCTGGGCAGCTAATTGCTGCCCGCACCTGATTGCGTTTTGCTGCCGTTGTGGTTAATGTGCAGATCGTGCCTGGGTTGCTGCTCCCCAGCTTCGAGGTTATTAATGAAAACCTTATCTGGCTGTGCAGATAATGCCAGCAATAATTAATGCTCAGCGAGGCCTGCCACGCAGTTCTGCTCCTTTGCTGCATCTCTGATGGTGGATCCAGGCCAGGGCTCCATCCTTGTCCCCAAGCCCCTTGTGGCCCTGCATGGGTTTGGGCTTTGGGAACCAGTGCAGAGAGGCCAGGTTGAAAAATAAAAGCAGATTTTCTTGCTTGGGGCTGACCCAGGTGTGTGTGAGGTGGTCAGCTCGGCTCCAGAGGAGCGCGTGGGACTGCGGATATCCCAGTCCCGCCAGGGCTGGGAATGCAGTAGTGGGGAGGCCCCCCGGTGCCTTTGGACCCTGTCCCCCTCCGCTCTCCCTCCTTTCTTCTCTTTCCTCAGCACTGTGTTTTGAATCACCGCCTCTTGCCTAAATCTTGCAGCCTGAGAAAGGACGATGGCACTTCCAGAGCGCCCAGGCCAGCACTGGTAATTCCAGCACCAAGAAGGAGACTGAAGGCGATATAAACGTCAGGAGCAAGCTCGGCTTGTATTAATAGTCCTATTAGTTACATTGCTGTAAAACAGCGATGCTCGAGTTGTTCAACTGCCCTGGCTCTGCTCAGCAGCATTAATTCCAACAGGGGCTTTTTGATGGGAATCACGGTGTCTCCCAGGAGAAAATCCATCATGATCCATCAGATACCTTTAAAATACCAGACGCTGCCCTTGGCTCTGGTAGGCACGGCACTAAAAGCAGTGGTGGTAGCCCAGGTGTGCTGTCCAAGCGCATCTGGCCGGGTCCCCTCGCGGGACGGGGACACAGGGGCCACTGCAGCAGCAGCAGGAGCGCTCGGGCACCGCGCGGCTGCTCTGCAACCCGTGCCTGCGCGCGGCCCGCAGCCCGCGATAATTGAAACTAAATGATGCGTTCCGGGAAGGAGCGTTCCGCCTTGCTGCCAACGCTTATTTACTTGTTTGTTCCCGCTGGTGGCGGTTGGCGGAGAGCAGGGGCCTGGGGAGACAGGCACGAGCGCGGCAGCACCTGCGTGCAGCGCTAGCTCTGAGCGTTTTGGCTCCGCTTTCCCCCCAAATCAGGGCAGCAATAGGCAAGTTGCAGAAAGCTTCCCAAATTCGTGGGGGCCAAACCCCCTTTTCCCTGTGGATTTGGGTCCGCACTGCCAGGAGCTCCCCCCTGCTCCACTTGGATGTTCCTGGGCTGTTCCTACCTTGCTGGATGTCAGTTTTCACAGAATCAGGGATTAAGAGCAGAAAAAAAGCCTGATCGTGTGGCCAGATTGGGGCCCTTCCATCCCCCCATCATCCCTGTACCCATGCTGGCGACACCAGAAAAGCTGCCAGGGACAAAGTCGCTCCCTGACGGCTCATCCGGGATCCGGGTGCTGACGGGGATGCAGTCGCTCTTAGCTACCAGGCTTTTCTCCAGGAGAGAAAACCTTGTGTGTTCATTTGCTTAATTATTCTCCCTCCCTGGCTTTATTGGGGACCCCCCAGCAGGGAGGATGTTCTTTGTGCCCAGGGCCCCCCCATGGACATTGCCCTGCTCACAAGGCACCCATTGGCACCGTGTGTCACTCCCCAGGTCACTGCTGAGGAGTGAGACCCTGGGCCTGGCTGCTGCAGCCGGGAATAATGGGGAAATAATTCGGATTTCTGCCTATTTGCACCGTGGCCCCAGCTGGCTGGGCTTAATCGCGGCTGTGCCCAAAATAGATGCTGCTCATGCAGCACCCGGCGCTGCAAATAGCTGCATCCCCGGGAGGAGGAGGATGGGGAGCACCAGCCGTGCCCATCAGCGACCTGCAGAGGGTTGGGTTTAACCCCTGCCACGTTTCATGGGGCTGTTAGGCCAGTGCCAGACTGGGGCAGGGGGGCGCGTGTCTGTTTTTTTATTGATGCAGCCTTAACCGATGCATTAAGAGCCTGCAATGCTCCCGATAGCCCAGCTGTAAATCCGCTCTGAAGAATTTATAGGGCAAATATCCCCGTGCTGTATCACCCACACAGCCCGTGAGGGCCGGGGGACAGCAGGGTGTAGCGGGGATGGCAGAAGCAATAAGCGCCCGGCACGGCTTTCCTCGGTCCCTCCACGGTGCTGCTGCTCCTGCATCGCATCCATGCCTGGAGCGGATCCCCAAAGCTTTGGAGCCCTGGAGCGGTGGAAGCCGCCAGCCCCTGGGCTGCTGCACGGCCCCCCAGGGACCTGCCGTCCCCGGGCGCCTAATTGCTAATCAGCGGCTGGCAATCAGCTCGCCCTGCTGAAGGTGACTCCCGCGGCAAGGAGCGGGGGTGAAAATACAGGCACTAATCAGCAGGGTTCGTTAGGTGAATGCAGGGTGCGTGCCGGGATGCTGCGGGGAACCGTGTCCCTCCTGCACGAAGCCAGGGAGCAGGAAGCCCAAAGAGCCGCATCCTCGGATACCGGGGTGAGCTCTGCATCCCAGGAGCTGCGCTCCGCTGGCTCTCGGGCCAGTTTGGATTCTCCACTCCCGGCCTGCGCTTCGCCGGCTCCAGAAATAGAAGCAGGTTGAGTCCTGCCAGGGCTGTGGCTGGAGCAGAACCACATGGATCGCTGTCCATGAGCATTAGGCAACTGCTTGCCCTGGGCATGGTGGGGACGTGCAGCCCTGGTGACAGGGACGGGCACCAGGGCTCCGGCTGGGCCCCGGTGCCCGGGAAAAACGCAGCTCCCTCCAGCCACGAGTGTCGGAGCAGCTCCCTGCTCCTGTGTGTTTTAGCAATGCTTTTCCAGGCAGCTTATGATGGCAAAGTCGAGCTGCGGCGGGGATGGAGCCGATCGCTCCCTCCCGAGCTGCCAGCGAGTGGGTTCCCGCTGTAGCAATGACAGCCACCACTCTGCCCACGTGCCACCCCCGTGCCAAGCTCCGAGTCCAGCACTTCTTACCCCTGTTATTTGGCAGCCAGCTCGGTGACACCTCAAACGATTTGAGAGTCCTGGGTCCACGGTGCCGGGTGAGCTAGCAGCTCCCGTGGGCTTGCCTGGCTGGAGCTAAAGCAAACACTACTCTGAGCGAGCACTGACTCCTGCTAAATCTGTATTTATGGCAAGAGAGCGATTGCGTTTCTTGGTGCTTTTCTTCTTTCTCAGCTCCCACTGCCTCTTGTCCCCGCTCCGTTTTCCTGGAGCAGCTCCTGTTCGCAGCGCACAGAGTCTCATTTATCCAAGGTCGCCAGCTCTCACTGTGCTCTGGAGCGTCTGCAACAAGGGCCGTTTTTCTCCGCATTTTGGCCGTGCACAGGATGGAGGCAGGAGGCCAAGGGAACCACACGGCTGCACCTGAGCCCCCCACCCATCCCCTCCCCTAAAGCCCAGCTTGGCCGTTAGGCCGCTCTCATCCCTCCCCAGGTGCCACCTCGCTCTGAGCCGGCCGTGACGCTGTGGCTGGCAGAGGGACCACATTCACCAAACGGGCAGAGAGGGGCAGAGCGGGAAGGGGGGGGTTCTCCCCACATCCCCCCTTGCTCTCCCATATCCTGGGCCGGGCTTCCCCTCTGCGCTTGCTGGGAGCTGTCCCCGCTTTTGGCGGCGCTGGGGGCACCTCAGCAAGGCGGGTGACTGCGCGGGGCAGAGGGCCGGGCGCGGGGGACCTGCCCGGCGCTGCTCGCGACGTGGCCGCTGTCACTCGTGGCGCGGGGAGCGGGGGCGGCGCCGCGCGGGGCCCGGCCCCTCCGCCCGCCTCGCCGCACAAAACGGCGGCGGGGCCGGCGCGGCCGCACACGCGCCCCGCGAGCCGGCACCGAGCCCCAGCGGGCCGAACCGAACCGAACCGGGCCGGGCCGGGCCGGGCCGAGCGGGGCCGGGCGGGATGTAGCGATCAGCACCGCGGAGAGCGGCGGGGCCGGGCCCGGGGCCATGGCCAGCGTGCAGCAGGGCGAGAAGCAGCTCTTCGAGAAGTTCTGGCGCGGCACCTTCAAGGCCGTGGCGACCCCGCGGCCCGGGAGCATCATCGTGGCCAGCATCACGGCCCGCAGGCCGCTGCCCAGGTAAGCGCTGCCCCCGGCTCGGGGTGGGGGCTGTCGCCGCCCGGGCAATGGGGCTCCCTCCTGCCCGTGGGGTCCTGGGGCATCCTGGGGACGCTTGGCAGCATCCCTTGGTCCAGGCCCCGCGGAACCCATCCCGACCGTGCCAGAGTGATGCTGGGGCGGTGGGGATGCAGCGCTGGTGGGAATGCAGCCCTGGCATCGGTAGCATGTGGCTACTGCCTGGCTCTTTGCAGCGGACCCCGCTGCTCCTCATCACCGCGTGCCCTCTGGCAGGGCTGAGCCTGCCCGTGTTCCCAAGCTCTCCAAGAGGTGCCCACAAATCGCCGACCTGCTGCTGATGCCACTGGAGTTGTGGGGGCTACTCATCCCCATGGAGGTGCTGCCAGACACTGTCCATCCACCTCGCAGCAGCCCCCTTCTAATTCAGAGCAGTTTTGTTATGGTTCTTCTTGTTATTGGTTTGAAATGCCCACTTTGTGCTGGTTTCCTGAGGCACTGGGGCTCCTGTGGGTCTGTAGCGATGCTCCTGCTGCTCTCCTGCCGCTGGGAATGAGCAGAAGTTTGGTGAGCAGGAGGGGTCGGGAGGGAGAGCGGCTCGGTCTGTGGGCACCACAGAACCCCACGGTGGGGTTCAGGTTCAGGAAAGCTGCTGTCTCACTGGCTGCACCTGATCCCACATGGAGAGTGGAGCAGAGGGAGCCAGGCTTCCGAGCAGAGGGAGCCTGGCTCATTTCCGCAGCCGGCGCATGGCTCGCCTCTGCTCCGGGTGCACGAGAGGTGCTGCCATCGTCCCGCTCCCCCCTGTGCTGGTGCCACTGCCTGCACACCAGCCCGCGAGCTGCTTAAGCAATTGGTACCGATGGGGACCATGCAGGGCTAGCGCTGGTGTGCGGTGGCCGGAGCTCGCGCACGGGCTGCTGGCTCAGCCACAGGCTGGTGCCCAAGCTGAGCACGGACACGAGCGTTTCCATCTCTCTCAGAAGCCCCCAGGTGCAAAGGGGCTCTCCTGGTGTCCCCCCATGACATGCAGACCATCCCCGTGGCCTCGGGCCTGCTGCGTTCCACGCTCTGGCTCCTCGTGAGCGCTGCGCGAGCGGAGCTCCCTGCCTCCATCCCCCGCGCGTTGCCGCTGCTTTTGTCTCTGTGCACCATATGCCAGTGGCAGCAAGTGGCCGCAGAGGGGCCCTGGGCCAGGGGACGCTCCCTGCACCACGGCCACCTGCGCCCCGCGCCTGCATCCCGATCCCTTGCACATCCCCGCTCTCCTCCACTCTGGGAGCGGTTTGTACCGGGCTGCTCATCCCGTCGGCCTTTCCTCCCTCCCCCCCGGCCCCGAGAGCACTCCCGGCTCTCGGAGCAGCTTAGGGCAATGCCAGCGCGCAGCGCGGCTCCGGGGCACAGCCAGCCCGGGCGTCCGCAGGGACGAGCACGGCGGCCATCTGCTCCCTGCTTCGCTGCCGCCAGCCCCTGCGCCAGCGAGCTCGGCCCCGGCGCCGCTGCGGCGGATGCTCCCTGTGAGCCTCTTGGGGAGCAGCAGAGGGGACGGTCCTGGCCAGACCCCCCTTGCTCTGCGCCCAGATTCTTGGGGGGGGGGTTGGACCTGGCCTAGGCCAAAACAGCTATGTGGGCGCGGGCGCTGGTGGCCGTAGGGGCTCTCCAAGCTCGCTGGCTCTCAGGGAGCTGTAGAGGGTTAGGGCTCTGCTGAAGCCGCGAGTCCCCTCGGACAGCGACGTCCTGCCTTCCGCCGGGGGCTTTTTCAGGCTAAATGGATTATCGACCTGCTGGCAGCAGAAAGGGAAAGCGGAGATGCCGGGCGAGGGGCTCTTCCAGCTCATCCACCAGCAAGCGGGGACACAGGCCGGGCTTGGGGGCCGGAGCGGGGACCTGGGCAGCCTGGAGAGCTCCAAGGAGCCCCCTGGCTCCCCCCACACATCCCCCCCTGCCCCGGGGCTCCCCGGGGTCCCCCGGCATCTGCCGGCCGGGGGCAGCAGTGGCCGGTGCGCCAGCCGCCCGCTTGCCATCTGCCGCCTCCCCGCCGGCCCCGCTCCCCGCGCGGCATCGCTAATGAGCCCGCGGCAAGCGGCGGGGACGGAACTGGGCTCAACTGAACTAAAAAGGCGGCCCCCAACGCGCTGGCCACGCCGCTCACGGCGCTTTTGTGCCCCCGCACAGCTCCAGCTGGCCGGCGGCGAGCGAGCCCTGATTAGGCAGCTCCAGAGGCCGCCGGAGGGGAAACGGAGGGGGAAACGTCTTCTGTCTGGATGGAAAATCAGCAGGGAATGCAGGGAGGGGACAGGCTTGGTGCTTATATAAAATATTTGGGTTTTGCTCTTGAATGAAGCTGTTTGGTGATGACCCCAAGTGTGGCGGGGGTCACCTGGGCTGCAGCCGCTGGGCTGGGTTCCCTGCAGCACTGGGGTGCAGAGCACAGGTTTGGAAGGAAAAAGTGAGGAAAGACAGCATTGTCAGGGAGACCCCCGGCTCTCTCTCGGAAGGGCTGACTGGCAGGAGCAAAGCAGCAGCTCTGCGTGCAGGTGCCGAGCGAGAGCCCTGGTGGCTCCTGGCCCCTGCGGCTGCAGACGTCACGGTGTCACCGCTGTCCCACTTAACACTTCGTGTTTAATTGAGGTTGCTTCATAAATTAATACCCAGGGATGTATAACAGCATGAAGATGGGGTGGTCATTGCAGCTTATTCCCTCCGCTCCAGTGCGAGTGGACACTGCCGCAGCAGAGCTGCCACGTGGGGACACTCCGGCCCTTGGCAGGGGTTCCCACGGAGGCTGCTGCTGCCCAGGCACCTCCTTCTCTGACTCCCTACAGGGCGTTTTCCCTCCTTGGATTTTCCTGGCGTAAGACGGAGCACGTCCAGGTCATGACTCGGGCGTCCTCAAGCCCTAGGATTGCCTGGGAAGATGCTTGGCACGGGCTTGCTCTGGCCAGTGAACCAGGTTGGACTCAGGTAACGGAGATATTTGCAGGGTTGGAGAGTCCAGCTGGTAGCCAAAACAGCTCATGCCACGGGCCAAAGCCCAGGCCTCCCAGATTCCCACCCGGGACCTTGCTGTGCCATCCTCCGTGGCCCAGCTGGGTGCCACAGCAGGGAGGGCAGCTGCCCAGCCTGGCATTGCTGCTGCCACGCAGGTTAATTTTGCACTGGAGAGTGGGCCGGGAGTTGCTGCCGGCTCTGCTGGACTGCGAAACGTGCCCAGCGGCACCTCCTGGCACCTCCTGACATCTCCTGGCACCTCCTGGCTGCTGGGCAGTGAGGAGGCCGGGACTGGAGCTCCCAACCCGTGTGCGGGAGCCGGGCAGCCGCGCGGCAGCATCCCCTCCTCGGCCGTGGCTCCGGGCCCCTGCGCCGTGTCCGCCACTGCCGCCGTGGGCTGGTAGCGCCGTTCTGCGCTGGCACCGATTCCCGGGTCTGCAATTTCCATCGTCGGTGCCCAGCTTTTTATAGACCGGGAAAACGGGAGAGCGCTTAATGAGCTGTAATGTTGCAGAGCTGCTGCCGTGATTGTGCCTAATTATTTTCTTTATAAAAATAATTAACAAGCCACACAACCTCCAGCGTGAGAGGCGCGCGGCGTTAATTAAGCCACGCGGTGTTTCCAGTACAGGGAGCGGGCAGAAAGTCCAAGTGGAGCTGGGCAGGGGGCTCCAGATGGACGGAGACGCCTGTTTTGCTGCGGGGCTGGATCTAATAGCATTAATTCAGAGTCCCAGGGGGTCTGTTCGCTCTTACTAGCAGACCAATTCCTCCCTTTTCCTGGAGATATCCTGGGAATGAAGGCAGGACGAGGAATTGCTTCTGCGACCCCCTGCTCAGCCTTGTCGACCCCAGCAAGCAAATGAAATTAGGATTGTGATGGTGATAAAGCCTGCGGGCAGACGAGCAGAGGCGGGAGCCGGGTTCAGCACGGGGCGCTTGCTCCACGTACATCTGCTCCAGCCGGGCACGACTTGCCCTTTCGGAGCCGCCTCCCGAGCGCCCAGTCCCCAGCGCATTGGAAGGCCGGCGCTGCAGCTCCCGGCAGCGCTTGCCGGCCTCTCTGGCAGTAACATTTAACGAGCCACGTTGCTGCCCGATGAACTACCCGTTTCGTGGCTTCCCGCTGTCCTGCGCTGAGTGCCTGCAGTCCCAGAGACCCAGATGAAGCTGCTTCAGGTGGGCAGCCCCAGGGTGCAGTGGCTGCAGGGTGCTCAGAGCGAGCCCAGGATTGCGTCGAGCCAAGCCAGGACTTTCCCATTCCTATATCCGGGGATTTCTTTTTCTGTTCCCATATGCAGGAGAAAATCCACATCCTTAGCAGGTATCATGGCAGGGTATTTGCCCAAGGAGAGGGATCTGAGGATTGGAAAGACCCGGCGCTCCTCCCAGGCACTGTGCACAGCTCCGGTGGGCTGGGGTTGAGGCTTCCCAGATGGTTCCCATCCGGAATCAATGCCAACGGGCCGTGTCTATACCCTGGCAAGACAAGTGCTGCCAGCCTGCGGGGTCAGGAGCAGCAGCTGGTGTCCGGGCTGGAGCTGCCTGTGGTCCTGGACCACGCTGTGTCCTCTGGAGCATCTGGTGCTGACAGCCACCTCTTCCAGATGGGAAGTGCCTGGGTTTGGGTTCAGCCGTGCAGAACCAGGAGGCTCCTGGCAAGGAAAGAGCCGGGCTGCTGCGAGAGGACACTTGGAGTCCAAGGGATTCCGAGTTGCAGGAGTCCAAGGGGCGAGAGGGGTTTGTGGTGGGACACCCTACAACCACTCGGGGTTGTGGGACACAACACACCACACGGGAAGGGGGCAAGGCCTGGCTGATGGAAATGGGGTGAAATAATGGATATTATGGAATTGGGTTTGTGCTGTGCGATCAAAACCGCCTTGAGAAAGCCACGCGCTCAGGCTGCAGCTGGTGCCTCTGCTGCCACGCAGCAAAATAGCTGTGAGAAGATTAAAATTGGACTGGCTCGGAGTCAGTGCAATCAGAGAAAATATCACGGTGATTTGCTATTATAATTTTCAATAACAAACCGCAGGGCTCCTGCCACACCGGCGCGAGGTGGGGACGGGAACCTGCCTGGAGCACGCGCGGGTTTGTGGAGAGCACTTGCAATTTTCCCCATCTCCTAAATTTGAAGAGGTATTTTTAGTGCACATCACAACCAGATTTACGTAAACACATCTGCTGGAGCTGCTGCTTGGAAATGTCTTTGCAACCTCCATCTTCTTTCTCCCCACCTCCCATCCCTGGGACAAAGGAGCCATTCGACCGTTTTCCTTTTTAATCAGCTGAGCAGAAGCAAGAGAGCGAGAGGGACGATAAAAGGGCACTTTTACTAGCAAAAGCAGCGGTTTTTAGCAATGCTGCTTTCAGCGGGCCGTGTTCCCAGGGACGCAGCGGCTCCCAGGGAGCCACGACCCCGTGGTGAGGGGCACCTCAGCCAGGCCCTGAGGGCTGGCTTGTCATCCTCCCGCAGGGCCAGGGCACAGGGAAGGATGGGCAGGGGTGCGAGCTGGGGCTACCGGCCACGGGGCACCGCGGCACCCGGCCGGCTTCCCTGGCCGAGCCGATCTCCGATTGGGTGCCGTAATTAAGAGCACTTTGTGGCCGATGTTTAATCTTTCTCTCCATTTAAATGGGATTGATTTTTCCCATCGATTTAGCCGACGTGCCTCCATCTGGCCACGTCCACCAAGGAGGAGCACGGCTCCTGTTGGCAGAGAGTTTCTCATGCTCTTCCTCGGGGTCGCTCCAGGAGCCCCTGTCCTTCGGCAGATGGATATTGCCAGATCCATGCCCTGGACGAGGGCATCATCATCATCATCGTTTTAATGCCCAAGGAACCACCCACAACTAACAGGCTCATCGGAGATGCTTTAACCTTTTTAGTTGTTGCGGCATCACTTGGCGGGAGCATCTTCCCCGAGGGCTGCAGAGCCTCGAGGGTTGGCAGGGGCAGAGTGGGGAAGTTTTCCAATCATCTCTCCCAAATTCCATCCCGAGCTCAGAAATGCCCCTGGCACAAGGGTGGCCAGGGCTTGGCTTTTTGGCAGGTGCTCCAGCTGGCTGCCCTGGAGCTCTGGGGCAGGTGACACTGTCCCGCACAAGCCCTTGCCATCCCCAAGGAGCTGCCTCGCTGCTACTCTGCCCGTGTCACCATGGCAGGTTTCACCCAAACTCCATCAGTGCTTGGGTTCTCCGGCTTCATCCTGGTCTGCCCAGAGATGCCCTGCAACAGGATTTCCCACTGCTCTCAGTGCTCCGAGGTTGGGAATACCTGGTTTCTTTCCCACCGATGACCTTGTCCGCATCCTTTCTGCTGTGGGGAGAGAGAGGCCTGCTGCAGCAGCGTTCTGGCAGGGAAGGAAAACGTGGGAGAGCCCAAATCTGCAAGCTCAATGTCCAGGGAAAGCGGCCAAGGGCTGGGGCTGGTGGCAAGGCAAGCGGGCCGGTGCTCCAGGCAGCGCCTGCTGCTTCCCACCCATCTGCTCCCACCGTCTGGAAAAACCTGGCAGGGCAAAGCCTCCTTCCTCACTCCTCTTTCTCCTGCCTGCTTGGGCTGTCAGCTGGGGCTGCGGATATAAACATATATATATATATATATTTTTTTTTTTCTTTCAATCAATGTCCGTGGGAGTTAATCCGAAGGGATTACCAGCCAGTTTAGAGCGTTAGAGACTCTTAGCATTCATCGGAGGAGAACATTTGGTTGAATCTAAGCCAGCCTTTGATGGGATTGGAGAATAATTATTTCCATCAATAATTACTTCCAAGCGCAGAAGGAACGACTGGTTCCCAGCACACGCCAGGGCAGCCGTCCTTGCCGATGGATTTTAATGCAGGGGCGCTCAGTGCACGGGAAGGCAGGTGGCTCCACTAGTGCCAGCGTAGGGATGTCACCGCCATCCATCCCACCGGGATGGGTGTCACTGGTGCCCTAAAGTGCCACCAGTCCCGGGAGAAACCCTCCCTTCTCTGCTGCTGGAGCTGAACCACGCCGGCCTTTCCACCCGTCATTAATTTGGGGACGTTTTTAATGGATCCTAATGACTGCGCCTCAGAAGACTGTTCTTAAAAGGGGTTTGGGAAAGGCCACAAGCTAATTAGTTGCACAAAGAAAGCAATTAACTATGTAGCTTCCCGGATGGGTAAAAATAACACAGATGTCAAAAAGCGACTGGGAGATTTATTACAAGTGAAGTAATCGACTTCAAAAGCCAGAGGGACCCAAGGCTCCGCCAGCATCGTCTCCTGTGTATCCTGGACTTGAGGCTCCGCACCGGCCTCTCCCTCGGTGACCCCAGCACTTGGATTTGACTAACGCACATCTAAAGCTAACATGTGAGAAAATTGCCTCCCACAACACACCGTCGTAGCGTTGTCTTGCTCTTTGCAGCAGCACTTTTCCTTGCAAGAGCACTCTCACAGCCGTACAGCCTGAGCGCGCGCCGCAGAATTACGCAGTGTTATAATGAGGGGGAGAAGGGACCCTGCTCTCTGTCCCCACAGAGTGCCAACCCGCTGCGGGTACAGCTCCCCAGGCCAGACCAGGCTCCAACCTGCCAATGCTTGTTTGATTTCTTGGAATAATCCTGTGGATGACACAGTGTTCTCGGCACCCCTGTCGGGTATGGTTTATGGCTTTCCATTAATCCTCGTGTTCTTTGAAATAAACATCTCCGGGGCCTGCAAATCTACTTACTTCCCTCCTGAGTGCTTGAGCTCTAGTTTGTTTGGGCTTACTTACTTTATTCATTTATTTATTTATTTATTTCCATTTCATAAATTCAGCAGCCCTGTGTCCTCCTGCCCAAGCCCCAGTGGAGACCTCTTTTTTGGAGACCTCTTGCCCCAGGGTGTTGCCATCCCGGCTCTGCTCCTCATTCCAATGCGATATCGTCCAGCAAGGTGCAGTTTGGTATTTCAAATGCAAAAAACTTCTCTCTACCAGACCCCAAGGCAGTTGAGGCCAGACAAGATTTTGGCCAGGCCTGCATGTTTTTTTGGGACGCTTTGTGCCGAAGCCAGTTGCAACAAGTGGCCATTTGGTTTCTGGCACCTCTGATCAGAGACCTTGACCTTGGTCTTCTTTATTTTTTCTGGGAAGTTTTCCTGCTGGAGCATGCACTCCCTTCTCTGCATCCCCATGCAGACGTGTCATTGCAATGTGTAACATGTTCTCAACTCAGCCACATTGCCAATGAGGTTCAAATAAACGCAGGGCTGTAAAACCAGGCTGCATGTCCCAGTCTTGCTGCAACTGGGCAGACAAACACAGAGGATCTGTCTGGGGAGAACATAGTACATGTGCTCCAGGCTCTTCCCTTGGCAAAGCATCCAGTGAAAAGGCCGAGTAGTCCGAGCAATGACTGGGGATCATGGCATTGGGTCCCTCAGGCCCTCTGGGCTGAGCTGTGTCCTTGATGTCCTGCCGCAGTGGGCACTGACTCAACAAACCTGGTGTGTGGGCGGGAGGCGAGAGCTGCTCGGGCCACACGGCTGCGCTGTCCTTTCCTGCATCTCAAGTTGAATGTAGACAGCGAAGGGCCCTGCATTCCAAGCTGAATGTAGACAGCGAAGGGCAGTCCCCAGTCCTGCCCTGCACCCAGTCTCGTCACAGCTGGAGCGGCTCCCTGTGGAAGGCGCTTGCATATGTCCACACTCCCTCATCTCACTGCCCCCAAGTGCTGCATTAGTGCACCCAGACCCTTTTCCTGTGGCAATGGGCTACGTAGGTTGGGGAGCAACATGTACATTTCCTTGAAAGGCTCAAAGCCATCCACTTCTCTTCTGTGTGGACTGTAGGTCTCTGGCTATGGAAAGGAAAGCAGTGTGGATTAAGGGTCCATAGGGAATCACACAAAAAGCCTTCAGCAAATGTAAGGACAGTTTTTCACTGCTGTTTTTCTCTGCTGTTCCCCTAGCGCTGGGACTCTCAGCTGCCTGTCGTACTCTGCAGAGGACAGGTGTCCTGAAAAGGCAAGTGGCAATGCATCCAAGGAAGCCTCTGCCACCAACGGTTGTGTGAAGGGGAAGGAGAGGCATGACCATGTTCGCCACCGGTCACGCAGGTAACAGCGAGGGCCATGAGTGTGGCCAACCCAAAGCGGGGCTCACTGAAGTGGGTATCTGTGATTATTTACCTGGGCTGTGGTTTCCCATCCCCTCTGTGGACCTGTGAGAGATGACCCCAGGACGGGGGACAGAAGAGCTTGAGCTGCCCCATGAAGGTGGCTAGGACTCAAAATGAGGTTCATGGTCCCCATCTGCCTGCAGTCTCCTGTGTTATTAAGCTGTGCTGGGGCTCCGCGTGAGCAGTGAGCTCATATGTGTTCTTGGATGTCCCCTTGCAAGGAGCCCTCGGTGAGGGCAGGTGGCCTGCCAGAAGCCCTGTGCCACCAGGGTTAGTGTGGTGCCTTTGGTTGGGAATTGCTATCAGACATTCCTAGCTATGTCTGTATCAGAGACCAGCAGCACTGGCCTTGTTAGGACACAGCTTTGTTATCAGCTCATCATAAAACCCTGGCAACTGAAGAGGGGAATAATGGGTCAAACTTTCTAAATGAGGCAGCCAGAGACACTGAGCCCTTCCTGCTAAACTGTTTCTATGATTAAAGCCTAGCCATTTGGTTAAAGAGGCTAGAAAGAAAGAGAAAGCAAGCACATTTCATATCTCCTGATTTCAGGCTAACCAGAACAATAATCTAAAGGGTATTTTTAATTAGACTTTGATTACAATCGGGGAGAAACAATTAAAGTCTGATCAGCTGAGGGAGCAAGTGTCTACATCAAAGACAAAAGAATTTGTCTTGGGCAGAGGAGCAGGGCTCTAAGCAAAGCAGCCCGGAGCCCCACCGCGGAGGCTGAAGGTCTCTCCGCACGCTGTGGCCGTGCCTGGTGCTTTTCCTAAGTCACCTTTCTCTCCGTCTTTAAGAACATTTGCTTCCCTTAATGAATAGCCACAAAGTACCTGTTGTCGTATTTTCAGCCGCGTACTCCAAATTAATTCAACTACAGCATTTGCTTTTCATTGAAACATAATGTGATTTGCTCTTGTGTGTTTTCAGAAAAAAAAAATCAATTTGCTGACTTTATTTTTTTTGAGGTTTAACAGCTGTGTAAGAGATGCATATCACTAAATTACCATAGCACCTCAGTAAATATATATTTTTATAATCAACTGCCATTTACCACGCATTAAGTCCTCTAAAACAAGCTAGAGAGATGCATCTGGCTGCAGTAATTACTGCATGCAAATTAAAGGCTAATTAATTATTTAAAGCACATTTACAAAGGGCCGCGAAACTTAAATCTCTTCAGGCGCTGTTGATGTTGGCCAATGTGTAAGCGGCAGGCAGGGCTGTCTCCTTGAATCTCCATTTCTCCAATTCTCCATTAAGCAGAGCTGCTTAATTCGCAGAGAGGCTGTGAGAGCCCCTTGCCCCTTCAGTGCGTATCTTTTATTATCATAATAATTATTATTATCTTCCCACTGCGCCCCTCCAGCCGCTCAGGTGAGGGGCAGCGCACCCCGCCGCCAGCCCGGGGGAAGAAAAAGAAGAAGAAATCCAGCCGCAAGAAGAGAAGGAGGTGGGTGAAGGAGGCTGGGGCAGCCTGTATCGGAGGAAAGATGAAGGGAAAATGGGGAGAAAAAGGGAAAATGGGGCTCGAATGGAGGGAAAGGGCCTGGCGGGGAGGCGCCAGGCGCCATGTTGTTGGGAGGCGCCATGTTGTTGGGAGGCACCATGTTGTTGGGAGGCGCCATGTGGCGCCGTGTTCCTCTCTGCTGTGGGACGGTGCTGGGGGATGAGGGATGGCCAGGGACCATCAGGGACTCTGGTGTCCCCCGGGTCCTACCTCACACCCGCTGCCTCCCCCCTAGGTCTCCCTCCTACAGCCCCTCCCCTGTAAAGAAGAAGAAGAAGAAGAGCTCGAAGAAACGAAAAAGAAACAGGTATTTTGCCCTTAAAAATACAATTCCTTCTTTATTTTCTGCCGTCGGCGCCTTGGGCGCTGTCCCGCGAGGCTGGGCCTTGCTGTCTATGCTGCGTGGTGGCCGCCAACACGGGTGGGCACCATGGAGCAGTCGTGGGTGGTTTTGCAGAGCCACAACTGCTCCACGCACGGTGGTGCTGATGCTGTTGGTGAAACAGGGGGAAAAAGTCCGGATCTGCAGCTCGGCCAAGCCCAGATGGCAAGAGCCAGGGAACGTGGTCATCCCCAGCTGTGCTGGGCTCACCCTCTTTCTCTCAATTACCTCTTCAAATTAAAGAGCATGCTGATATTTTTAAAATAGCAACTATTTTGTTTCTTTCCCTCCACCGCTCATCTGAGAGCAGTGGGTGCCATCTCCTCGGGAAAGTTCAGGTATTAATAATTCATTGAACTCAGATAAAAAAACATTAAGTGTACCTGTTTTGTGGGTTTTTTTTTTTTTTTTTTTTTTTTTTTCAGGTTATCCTCAAAGAAGAGAAGACACAGGTAAAACTGGAGCAAGTGTGGGTAGACTCTTAAGATTTAAATGGTCTTTTGGGGAACCTGGGAGGTTGAGATTCACTGGGTATAAAACATGTTCCTTCTCTGTTTTCCTGTGGGATTCCCTTTCCTTTCCCCATCCTATGCATGTGCATCTCCTGACAGCACCCATCTTTAAAACCTCGAGGCCAGAGTCATCTCAGTGCCTTTGCTGATGTGCACTGGAAGCACTCTGCCGACTCCAGTGTGTACAGCACCCAGAAACATTCATCTTCTCCATAAGGAAATGCGAGGCCAGCAGGATGGCTCACCCCGTTAGAGATCCCTTCTGTCCAAGGCCTCAGACCCTCTGTGCCAAGGCAGAATATTCATCCTTTTCACTTCTGTTGCATGCTTTGGGGTGAATTAAGTGTAACATTAATGTGTGTTTGTGTGACTTTTTATCAGAACAGAAATCTCCCGATTAATTAGCCCTTTCTTATTTAGTTCTTCAAGCCCCAAAAGTAAGAGAAAGGAAGAAAGAAAACACAAAAAACAGTAAGTAGCAATACATGGTACTCCCTGCCCTGCCTCTGCAGGGCTACGGGGCTAGAAAACATTTGGTGTGTCTGGCCCTTAGGAATTTGCACTGGCTACAAAGTGCCAGGCAACTCTCCGAATTGTTTTGAAGCTAAAACCGGTGCTTCTGGTTTTGCCAGAATGGGAAAAGGCTTGTAGAGGCTGGAGGTATTTCATTTCCCTGTGTTCTGTGTCACCTGTTTTGGCATTTCCTTTGTATCACACATGGGATGCACAGTGTCTTGTTCATCCCTCCCTGAGTAGAAACATCTGCCTCTTGTTGAGGGCAGCATGATAGAATGAACTAGGATCTACCTCCCTGCTGTACGTGGGACTCCCACGGAGCACAGTGCCCTACAGCCTCCACTGTCCAAAGAGACTTCCCGAGGAGCTTTATCACTGTCTTATTTGTTCCTGAACAGCCCTCAGAGGTTACAGTAGGATATACATTGCAACCATATATCTGAATGGAGCAGAAGGCAATTGAGGTGGGGATCTGGGAAGAGAAGTGAGTGTTTGGAGCTGATGGAGGATATAAAATTATGGGATTGAAGCTCACATCTGCCCTGAAACACAACCCTTGCCCTGTGGGGAAGGTAACCCAAAGGGTGCTCTATGAAATGTGGTGACAGTTTTGTTGGGGCCAGGAGGAAGGCCTGTTGTAAGCACTTGACATCACACCAGAGCACACTTTCCCAGCTGCAGGGAAGGATTTTGGAAGCAACTTCTCTCACAGTTCTTCTCAGGATTCACTTCCTTTTCAGCCTTCTCCTGAGTATTGCAACCTGTGGTTTCTCACCTGCTTTCTAAGCAATGAAACAGCTCTGGGGCTGAACCCTAGGCATCAAAATCCTGGCTGGTTCTGTTTCTACTTGGAAAGGGAGAGAAATCCACTTACACGATGGGACTCTGCTGACTTGATTGGAGTTTGAACTTCTATCTCTTAGTCAGAAAATGAGTAGAGGGATGATGAGCCCTAACACTGCCCCAGTGACACCCCAGTACCATTTAGGACTGGAGTGCTTGGGAATCATGTAGATGTAGAGGATGCTGAGTTTCCTGTGCCAGTTCATTGGTAAAGCTGAAGCTTTCTAGGTTGTCAGTAAAAGGAGGCATCTCCCGAACACACCATAGTGTAGGCAGCAGCCTAAAAACCTGTAATTAAAGCAAAGATTGGATGCCTTGCTCAAATGCATTGACCTAGGGGAATGAGAGCTGCTAGAATTGCTCTTTGGGGATAAACGAGACAGGGTGTTTTAGCCCTTATCTCTCATCTCACAGATCACAACTGAGCCACTCCTGGTTGCTGCAAACATCCTCATTACTGCTGGGTGTGTGGCAGAGAGATCCCACGAGCCAGTTTAGAGCAGGGTTTGTGTATAATCACTTTGCTTTGGCTTATCTTTGTTGAGCAAGTGGTTACCCAAATCACATAGGATCAGTTCTTCCTCCTGCACAAGTGCAAAAGCCTTAACTAGGGGCACCGATGGAGAGGGTAAAGAGCAAAGATGGAGGGTTTTTACAAATCCACCAGGTATTCAGTGCTGCCAATTCCTGCTCTTCAAAAATAAGGAGGGTGGAATGTGAAGGATTTTTTTTTATAATACAATAGTAGAGTATAAAAAGCATTAGAGAAAACAACCAAGTGAAGATCAAGCAATTGCCTTGATGCCTTTTCCCTTAAAGGAGATGTTGTTCTCAAGCAGTTGGTTTGGTGAATTGCCCAAAGCTGTCCAAATATGTGTGTTAGTGTTGTCAGGCACTTACACGGCGGGGTTATGAAATCAGACTCTTCTCACCAGCTAACCCTTTATTACATTCACCTGTTCGTACCGCAGTGCCAGGCAACTACAGTACGAGGTCTAAAAGATCTGGTGTGATAGGCACCAGGCACAGCAAGAGGGAAAGAGGGAAGGGGCACTGAAGGTGCCAGCTTGCCCCCCAAGTTGTCCTGCTGCCCACAGACAGAATTTAAGCTTTTGACACTGGCAACAACAGTTCCTCAGTGACAGAGCTGGATAATCCACCAGGAGCAGTCAGAATGGAGCAAAACAGGGTGCAGCAGGGTGCTGAAGTGAGGTCTGTGTGCACAGTTTGCTTGTAGCTGTCCTGTGGCCTTGGAAGCCCTAGAAAAGTGACTGGGGAAGCTCGTGCATGTGTTCACACTCATACAGCAAGCAGGGAAGGAGCCCGTAGCCCTGGCTGCACCCTCCTGTGTAGAGCGGATAGGCAAGGCTGATTGTTTCCAGGTGCTCTGTGTGTGTCTCAGCCTGTCCTTTTGCACCTGCTCTTCAGTAAGGAATCAGAGAAGGGCACACACTTGCTGCAGAGAGGGGCACAGCATGACGTGTGGGCAGCTGAGTTTTATGACTAGCCCTCCAACAGGACAGATCTCCCCAAGATCTCTGACACATCTCTGGTCAGTAGTGCAGAGGTCCCAGGGTTCCCTGGCTGTTTTAGGGTATCCTTCAGGATGGAAGGTAAGCAGGTAGGAGGCACATAACCTCCTGATGGCCTTAAAAGCAGAGAGGATTTGTCCTCTCCACTCCTCTCCTGCACACAGGCCTGTAGATCTCCCTCCCAGGCAGGCTCTACTGCTGCCCTAATAGCTTGTAATTAAACGACTAGCATTGATCTCAGTAAAGTGGTTATCTAAAGTGGCCTTTTAGGTTTAGATATGGAGGGATGGAGAGTATCTCATGCCCTCTTAGTGTCCTGTGCAAATGTTTCATGCACCAATCTCTTTTGTTTAACATACAGATCTCATTTCTGCTTCGGATGTTGTTGTCTCAGGCCTCCAACTGTGGAATCTTGCATCCCCCCAGTCTGCCAGCCTAATGGTGGTTTTTCTCTCTGCTTCTTAAAGCTCTCGTGGGCGGCACCGGAAATCTCATCGGCACCGTCACTGTCGCTCAGAGAGCTCCGATTCCCACACCGCTAACTGCCGAAGCAGGTAACGTCACCGCTCGCTGACCTCGGTGTCCTTCTACAGAATTCCCCGGCTGGGCTAGGAGTTGGGGCTGCAAAAGCTGCTGTGACGCACAGACACTCTGTGAAGCGGCGTCTCCTTCTGTTAGCAGCTCTGTCACGTGCTGGAGGGTTGAGCAATTCTTGGCCTTGGCTGTAGAAAAGAGGGGTTTGGCCCAAGGAGCAGTGGCTGTAGCTTCTCAATCCAGTAGCTGCAAGTTTTAAACCCCAAGGCTGATGATCAGTCTGCTCTCTCTTCGCCAGCATATTTGCTCTGTACTGCTAACATTCCAGGAGAGTCCTTAAACTTACTCTTAGCAGTGGAAATATTTTGGTCTGTGATGTTTATTAGCCTCCATTTTTGGCCTGATTAACATCTCTGGCTCGTGGATGCCAGCTACGTCCTGGGAGCAGGTGATGGTGAAGATTCACATTGCAATAGGAAGGCCCATAACTCATGGGAAACATGAACATTTTCATGTTTCACATTTTTCCAAGCAGTTGGCTCTATAAACTGGCCCCACTCTCCCACTCCACCTCTCCTCACTACGAGGAACTTGCTCATGGAAAGCTGAACAGTGAAGGGAGGATCAGTAAGGAGAATCGGTCTCTGGTGGGTGTTCCTACAAGAGCAGAATGGGGTTTTTTTTCTATTTTTTGTCTTCTTGGAGGAATACTGCCAGAGGTGTGTTCAAGGCTGTGGGAAACTGTTCTTTGCCTTGAGTCACAATAGAGTCATGGAGCTGAAATTTGAGGTTAATGTCCAAAACCACAAGTTTTCCAGGTGGAAAAGCTTTTTTTTTAGGAAGTAGAAGAACAAAACATCCCTTTTCTGTCCCTCGTGGCTGTCACGTGGAGGGCTCTCTCCCGCGTGCAGTGACCTGGCACAAGGACCTGAGGGGTGTCTACGGCGCCGCTAATGGGCACCACTGCAACACAGAGGAATAACGGCTGTGTCTGTCTCTCCTCCTGGAGGCACGGAGCCAGGTCTCGGGAGGAAGGGCGCAAAACGCGGCGAAGACGCTCCCGGCACCATTCAAAGGGCGCCGCAAAGCGAAGCTCCTCCGCAGAGGTTCAGGCCAGCCCACAAGCCAGCCAAACTCTCCCCCTCTACAGCTTCCTGCCTCCCAAGGATGTAGTAAGTATTACCCGCTCTGCTGCCTTGCTCAGACTAGCTGCAGAAACCCGGGCGAGAAATTGCATATAAAATTTTTATAATCCAATTATAGCGATGTTAGACAAAGTTGGTTCGAAGCTGTGTTAAGTATTAATGATGCTGCTCTCCAATGTATCTAAAGTCATTCCTTCCTTCGGTACTTTCACACCACGGGTGGGGCTGGAGAAGGGAAAAATTTGCGAAGACTCTAGTCCATGAATAATGAATTGAGGACACTTAACCCAAAAAAGTGGCCTCCAGCAATGATATTTTACGGAGAAATGTTTGTTATGCAGCCTTTGCTTAGCTGGATGTGAACTTAATTTACTGGTCTTCGTGTCCAACAGTTTAGCCCTTCAGGGGAAGAAAGGGAATCAAACATATATAAAAGAAACCTTTACATTTAATGAGTTGTTGATTATTGGCAGGGGATGTTTTCTGACTATGGAGGTGCTGCTACGATCACTGTTTTGCTGGTCTGACAAGCCCAAGGGCCAAATTCGGAGCTCCAGAGCAGCTCTCGTTGATGCTAATGGGAACTTCATGTGCAGCTGAGGGTAAAATCAGGCTCAGTGCCTTAGGCTGTTTTTCCGTATATGTGGAGACGTGCCTTGAATTTGAGGGAACAGGAGATGAATATTAGATATAGATTATTAAGAAGTCTTGCTTTTGCTTGCCACATTCTCCCCTTCTTCCCCATGGATGCAGAGCAGAGCTGTGATGCTCTTTGACCACAGTGTTAGTCTCTGAGAGGTGCTTTGGAGAGACAGGTTGCTACAGAAGACCCAAGGTAGTGCAGAATCCTCTACACGCACGTGTGCTGTGTAACAGTAGGGACGTCTTGGGTGCAGAACTGTCTAAGCCCCAGAATGGCAGGTAACAGGGCTGTGATTTTTCCTCCTCTGTGGATCAGTCAGTGGTTGGAAAGAGGTCAGTCGTACCCAGGAGCTGGTTACATCAGCTGGGAGATGGTGCAAGCAAGAGGAGACACCATCTGCACTTGCCTACCATGTTTTGGTCAGTGTGCATGAAGAGTCTACATGGATATAGACGGGAACAAGCTGTCTCACAAATGTATATACACACATTTGCTCTCATTTTATGCACCTGTTGAGCATGTAGTGCACATGAAAGTCTTGTCTATGCAGCTGGTTTCTAAGATAAAGTATGGATGGCAAAGCCTGCACACGGAGCACGTGTGTATGTGCACACACCTAACAAGAGTAACAAGCTCTCAAGCTTTTACTGTCATGAGCCTGGGGTGTTGCTGTCTGCCAACTCGGGGAAGGCAGGAATGAGTTAACAACTCCTCCCAAAAACAACCAGCAAAGGACTGCATTGTTTCACCAAGGATTTTTGGTTTGGTTTTCTTTTGGCTTGGGTTTGCTTGTTTTTGTTTTGTTTATTTGTTTTCTTTTTTTTTTTTCTTTTTTTTTTTTTTTAACACAAGACATATATTTTACATAAATGTTCAATTCTAAGCCTGGTTTTCAATTGGTACTAGGTTTCCTCTCTCTGAAGCCAGGGCCCAAGCCCTGTGAAGCCGACTGCCAGCTGTTCTGTTCCCAGAGCAAAAGTAAACTCCAATTTAAAACTGTAAAATCCTCTAAAATGAGCTAAACTCAAGCATGCTGCACTCCCTTTTGCACTTGCCTCACTCAAGAGTAAATGAGCACGCAAGCTGCAGGGCAGGGAAAAATCAGAGCATTTGTCTCTGATAATGCTCTATTTATATTTAAATATATTTAAAATCAGAGCATTAGTTGTTGATGCAGGTAATAGATGCAAAGTAAAGACATCAGGACTCTGCTGTAGTCTTTTGATCTAGGGTTAAGACCACACATATTCCAATGATAAAAAATATATCAGATCACTTAATGTGCAATTTGTTGGTGTCCTCTCTGCTCCCAATGAGAGGCGCATTCTCCTGGGGTATCATTCAAGAAAACTTTTAGCACTTGCTTAAATTGCAGCTCCTGGTTAAGGGCTATCCTTGACAGTTTTTTTTTCTGAATGAGATCTTTAAATATCATTCAAAACCGACAGGGGTAAATGGAATGGAAGCTTTTAATCTCTTCTGTTAAGGAGTACACGCTGCTGTTTTGAGGCTCTCCTGTTTTGTGTGTTAAATAGTTGTTAAGTACTTTTATGGTAGATAAGTAGTTTTATCAGAATCAGCTTTGAAAGCCTGGATAAGGATGAAAAGACTTTTTTTTTTGTTGAGATTTTTGATTCAGAAATGACATTCTATATCAACATTTTAAAAGCAATATCTATGTTTTGTATGCCAGTTCTTATTCTATTTTGCTTTTCTCCTGAGAAGTTGAAATGTTTGGTTTTAAATTTTACACACCTCCCCATCCCCCCCCAAATTACTGTCCTTCCTTTCTCTGGTAGGACCCTAACTTCCTAACTAGGCCTAGCTTTATCTTAGGAGGAAAAGAACAACCAGAATGCCCTGCCCATGCAACCCCCTAACTACTGCTTCCCCCCTTGTCTTTATTTGCAAGCCAATACCCTTGCTCCTCTACACACATGCCAAAATACTCCCATCTCTGCTGCTTTTCCTTTCTGCAATGGATTTCCTAGCTTCTCCACCTCTCTTCCCTTTATTCAGCAGCAACTGCAATAGTCACCTGTTGAGAATAGGATTAGAGGCCTGTGTCTCAGCATGCAGGGAAACTGTGGGTGATGGCAGCATCTATTTTTGCACACAAACAACACTCCCTGACCTGCTGCAAACGCTTTATTCCACACTGATACAGATATATTGTGTGCCACTCTGCTTTTAGTTTAACAGCGCAATATAAATACCTGCAGGGTACGAATCTAATTGCCTTTGTTGCACCTGATGAAGATAACTGCACGCTGCCTGCGCTTTCCTTGCCAGCTCCTTTCCTTCCACTGAAACTCATTTGCAATGTCACAATTTAACACAGTCTGCAGCCAGATTCTCAATGAGGCTCAATGGGGGTAAGGCTCTTGCAAACAGCATTGTTTATCTTTGCATTAATGCGTCTGCAGGAAGATAGACAGGGGGGAAATACTGTGCAGGGGCTCCCAGAACCTTGCAGCAGCCCTGGATGTTGTTTTCTAGCCTGGCTTTTTGGTTTACATGGGAAGAGCTGTTTCTTTAGCTCTTCTACACCATGTTTCTGTCAACAAACAGGGCTCTTAAAAATGGGAGGGCTACAACCTCGCAGGCTGAAAGGGGTTTTGCCAAGCAAAGGTTTATTGCTTTGCATTATCAGGAGTTTACTGCCGGGAATGGATTTTGTGATCCAGGCCACACACAAGTGTTGCCAGCCCCAGATAACCCACTGTCTGGCCTTGTGGGGACAGTTGTACCATTGCTGTCAGGTTCTTGGACCTGGCCTAGCTCTTTTGGTGGAGGAGGCCTGATTTGGAGCTCTTCATGCAGCTAAAAGGAATCTTTCCGCTCAGTTTTCCTTGAGTCAGGAATTTGTAATTGTGCCTAATGGGGATATAGAATATTCCTGTAGCACCAGTATTTTTGCACTGACTTTAACAGCAGGTTGGCTTTTCAGCTGGAGGCAAAATGCTAGCAGATTTAACCCATTTTCCCTTGGGCAAGAGCTGCCCCCGCTGCTCCAGGGGATGGATGTCCCTTGGGGAACAGCCCCCATGGAGCAGCCGCCTCGGAGCCCCCGGCAGCCCCTGTCGGCAGGTGCTGCTTCCCGTTCCTTGGCAGCTGTTTGCCGGGTCATCGGCGGAGCGAGGCTCGCTGGGGTCACCCACACAAGCTTTTTATCCCTTTTCTTATTATAATGCCCTGCAAACGAGAGAGAGGGAGGCATTATGCCCCTGTGAAAAAGAAATGAACTCTGCTTTGAAATGCATTGCAAAACAAGAGAAAAAGACCCAGGAAAGTAATCCCTCAGCTAAAGCGCAGTCTGTGCATTGCTGCTCATTGCTAGATCCCTGTTCCCATATGGCTGAGAAAATTTATAGTCATATCTCTCCTCCGGGCTGTTTGAAGAACGGTAAATGCACTTGTTCAGTTTAATTGGGAGACGGGTAGTGATTATATTTTTGTAACCTATTAGACTGTGGTGCCTCTTGATCTAGGAGCTCACTCAAAATTACATTCAGAATTATGAGTGAAGGCCTTATTTCTGCTCCTTCATCTTGATTCAATAATGATTTGGAACTAAAAAGAAACAATAAATACATATCTTGGGTACCATGAGGGCAGCAGTAGGTCCCCCTGCTGAAAGCTGCAGGAAGCAAAATTCACTGAGATTATTTAATTACTTGTTAGAGAGGGGGATAAAATCCAAGTGTTCACACAGAGCAAATGAGGTTTATAAAGGACCAAACTTTTAAAACACCCCAGGGAGGCGGGGAAAAAAAAAAAAAAAAAGCCATTAGAATTCAATTGAACATGGGATGTTTTCAGATGTGGCTCGTGGTTTCCATTTTGTGGGGCTGATGCGCCTTTCCTAAGCAGTAAAATGGAACAAAAGCAAAGCAAAGTCAAGGTCAGCAGAGAGGGAGTTTGCCTGCGAGCAGAGGTCTCAGTAAAGCACCACCAGCTTTCACGTCCCTCGCAGGCTCGAGCAGTTCCCATCCCGGCTCTTGCTCCAGGAGTCCCCTCTGGAGCCTGGTGCCCACGATCGTGCCCTCCCCTGGGCTGTGTGCCCTGTATCTCTCATCTTTCCACCCGCTGCCTCTTCCCGTGTGCTGCTAATGCAGCTTTTGGGCTGAAAAGGAGCTTGCTGGTTCTCAAATCACCCCATAGAGGTGTTGCCCTAGGAACAGCAGACACTTTGAAAGGTAAATTCCAGCAAATGCAAAGCAAGAGTGTAATATCCCAGGTCCCAGGGGCAGGCTGCAGAGCTGTTTTAGATATACCAGGAACTGCTGAATTTATTGCCTGTGGAGAAGAAAAGCTCTTTTGTTTTTAAGAGAAAAGGGGAGCGAAGCGTTTGCAAGTGCAGTGTTGGTGTCTCCCTCTGAGCAGCCACGTGCTCCTCCCGGGCTCTCCTGCCTGCACAGCCAGGGAGCACCTGCAGGGATATTTCTATGTCTGCAAATAAAAGATAGCCAAGAGCTGGTGAGGTCTGCGGTGTGCTTCAGATTCAAAGCAAACCATGCACCGTCTTCTAGAGCAATCTGCTGCCCTACTGGAAAACGCAGATAATCCTGTATCTTCTGGGATGTGGCTGGGGAGAGAAGAGTGGCTCATACCAAAGAGCTCACTTCTCCCAGGGCCCTGCTTATGGTGCCAGGGTTTCAGTAAGGGTTGGTGGCAACAGGAGGAGAGCAGGTACCTAAATGTCTTGTACTCTTTGACATCCCTCTTTCCATAAAGTGCTAGAGCTGTGAGGGCTCCCAGGGCCTCCACGTCCAGGGCTCTGAACATGGCCTCGAGGTCCCGGTGGATGGAGAAGGAACCCACAAAGAGCCCTCAGCTCTAGCAGATTTGCAGGGATGACCCAATTCCTGGCATCTGTGCAGTGCTCCTGTCTCTGGAAGGTACTTGGAGGTCCTCCAAGTGGCTATGTGTGCAGAGCACGAGGCCGTTGTGGATACCCCTCCTTGCGGGTGCCGAGGGCCCGCTCTCTGTTGTCGTTCAGCTTCAGCCATCACTGGTGTTGGCGAGCGGATCTGAGCCAGACCTCCCCGCCCCAGCTAATGCCTCTTGAACCGGGTCAAGAGCAACCCCTGAGAGACGCGTGTGCCGTGTGAGCGGCCGGCGGGGGGAGGCGAAGGCACCATCTGGTGATATGGAGGAGCTCCGTGTCCACAGGACCTGGGCTGTCCCTGCACTCGCTGTGGGGATTAGGAAACGAGCCCGGTCCCTGCTGCCCAGGGCTAAGCCCTCGGAAGGGGCAGCCCTGCCCGTGTGAGATGCAGCTCTCTGCTTCATGCTCATGGTTCAGGGTTTGACGAGGCGCTGGGGGAGCAGGGCCCTGAGGGAGGCGAGGCGGCGCCCGGCGCGCACAGGCCCGTGGCGAGCGTGTGGAGGAGGAAGCGGGCTGGGATGGCTGTGCAGGGCTCTGCAGCGGGGACACCACACATCCTTGTCCACAGGCCTGTGCAGGCAGGTGCCAGGGGCTAAGAAACGAGGGATAAACTACCCAAGTGATGCAAATCCACCCCTGTGGGGCTCGCGGTCCCTGGGGCAGTCCTGCCTGGGGCAGCTGATGCGGATGTGCTGTCCCAGCGGGATTTCACCGACGCCGGCGGCTGGCAGGACTGGGGCTGTCCTCACCATCCCCACCGCTTCCTAGCTCACCGCAGCGGGAGGATTTTTCCCTCACTCCTTTCTTTTATTTATTTTCCCCCCTCACTTCACCTTCTCTTGTCACTTCCGTGGGGCCGCTGCGAAGCCAAAGGGGATCCAGCACAAGGTGCTGCTTTTGGGCCCAGCTGCTCAGCCTCGAGGAACTGAACAGCCCCGGTGTGAAACAGAAGGACACAAAAGGGAATCACAAGTGAGACGAGCAAACAAACAGCCAAAACGCAGTCGCGACACGAGTGTACGTAGAGGAGTCGAGCGAACAGTTGGCAGTGTGGATTGAAGAGAGGGTTTATGTTTTTTTTTTTTCTTGTAATTTGAGACTCTAATGATGGACTTATGTTGCCCGCTCTTCCTTTTTTCTTACACCTTACCTACTAAAGGAGGAGTTCTTGATGGGTAAGTGGATGCTATCCGCAAGACACCAGGGAATTTATTAGAGGTCACTTGAGCGCTTTAGCTATACCTTCTTCAGGGGGAAAAAAGCACACAAAGAAATATCTGTATAATTTTAATTTTGAGAGGGATTTTTCTTTATCCCTTCCCCCTCCTTTTTTATTTTATTCCTCCCCTATATATATATTTTTTTAATTTCAAAGTGCTAAGGTTGTTTGTTTGCTAGTTTTTAATTTGCACAGAAGCCCTTGATTTTATTTTACTTTTCTTTATTCATTTTAGTGACATTCATTCGGTCTCTTTATTAAGCAAGCTTAAAAAAGAAGCCAGGCTTTTTTGAGATTTTGTTTCTTTTTTCTTTCCAAGCAGCATGTAGTTTTTTTGTATCTATATTCCTGTTTCTTTTCCCCTCCCCTCCCTCCCTTAGGTTAAATAGGGGCTTTTCCCCTCCATTTTACCTTTTTTTAATTTAGTTAGTTAGTTTGATTCTTTGGTTCCCCATTTACTTTGTTGAACTCTTTTGTTTTAACACAAATTGCATGCTGATATTCTTTGCATGATCTCTAAATCTTCCCGTTATTATAGCAGGGGGAAAAGACGTTTCTGCTTACTGTGGATTTCTTTCAGGGATATGTGCTTTGCTTTCTTCTTCCTTTCTTCTTTTGCTTTCTTTCTTTCTTTCTTACTTTCTTTCTTTCTTTCCTTTTGTTTCAGTGCATCATGATGGTAAAATTTCTGGGTTTATTTAAAAAATATCAGACAAAGTAAAACCAAAACAACCCCTCCCAAAAAGCATTCCAACAATGCCAAATGGCTTTTTTGCTTTCAGATCTCTCAGTCAGGGTCTTCTGCTGACCTCTTTACCAAAACAGACAGCCCGCTTGGCAACCTAGCCAGCCAGAACGGAGAGTATCATGAATATGACTCAGGAAACGATACTTCCTCCCCTCCCTCCACTCAAACGAGCTCCTCCAGGTCAAAGGACAGCCAGGAGAAACGAAGTCTAGTCCATGATGGCTTTGGCCATGCCTTCTCGTCCGGGAAGCCCAAACTGGCCAACAGCGATAACAGCTCTGATTCAGGAAACTCCTTCACCAGTTGCTTTTCCCAGAGCAAGGGAACAGCTTTGGAAAATCTATCTCCAGATGCCCAGGGACAAGACCGAAGGTCAGTGATTACCAGTAGCTGCTACTGGCAGCCACATACCTGCTGTGTTTTTGCTGGGATGACTGTGTTTCCTGCCCAGTTGCCAGTTGCAGGGGTGAACTGGTAGGAAGCTTTTTGTGGTCCAGATGCAGTTAGACACAAATCACATCCATGGTCTTGCCAGTCTGGAGTCCAGAGCTCGGCAAGGACCAATGCTTCAGAGTGAGGAGAGAAATGAAAACCCACCTGTCAGGCTCATGGGCATGGTGCGTGGCTGCCCTCCTGGTGCCAGTGTGGCCAGCTAGGCATTTGACCCAGGGCTGAGCTGTGCCCTGAGCACAGTCCTGCTTAGCTGGTCATGACCATGCAAAAGAAAAGAGTCATTGGCCATTGGACAAACTGGGGACTGGGGGATTGCCATACAACTTCCTTCCCTCTGTTTACCTTGGGAAGGAAGGGAGGCAGGATTCATTTTCCCTAGAACAATTATGGACTGTTTTTCTTCTTGTCCCCTGAGCCAAATTCAGTCTGTCCCTCCCTGGCTCATTCAGGACTGGTCTTGGGTGATTAGACAGCACTTTCTGGGTGGAAGCAGCACAAGGAGAGACAAGTGCCTCACTGGCTTGGGATAACCCAGAGCGTGAAGGCTGGGGAGCCAGAGCGGGAGACAAACCTCAGTCAGATGGCTCAGGTCATGGTCAAGGGAGAGGAGCACATGCCAGCCTCCAACACCTCCCATTCCTGGAGGCACTGGCCTTTTGCCAGGTACATACTGGGGATGCAGATATTGAGGCAAAGCAGCTGGTACCCAAGGATATGCCCAAGGCTAGTGGTGTTAGGACCTCTTCCAACTCAGGTCTTCCGTCCTGAAAGTTAGAGTCAAGACGTGGTCTGGCGCTGGAAGTGCTGAATCAGAGAGGGAGAGAGGCAGAGGAACTGGCATTAGGAAGAACCAGCTCTGACTTTTCAGCTAGCGGCTAAGATTTTAGGACTGTGGGTACCTTTCACGTTGTGACTGCAGTGGGACACCTCCACCGTCACACAGGTAGATCTAGGATAGCGTGTGGGCATTGTTTGTGGTGGGGTGGCTCCCCACTGGGTTAACCCCAGCTCAGACCCAGGGCACGTCCCGTGCAGCGGGGGGACCTTGTGCAGCCTCATGTGCAGGCAGTGGGGCCGCTTGCACTCGGCTGCCACCTGCGCTGCTTCACAGCCAGGTTGAGGTCACACTCCTTTGCGCTGCCACCCTCTGCCTTTTCCTTGCTCCAGGATTGCTCCCCACCTTGCTCCATGCCCAAGGGCCTGATGACAGCTCACTGGCACGGCCCACACTCTGCCAACCAGACACATCTGCTGTGTTGGTCGTGGAGCAGAAGATCTGCTGTCCTGAAGGATCTCAGGAGAAGGCACCAGCACCACCTTAAATCTCTCCCACAGCCCTTCCCTGGCACCAGGCTGGAGGGTGGCTCTTGTACCACGACCTATACATGGGTCTCCTGCAACAGGAACTTAGGAAGCTGGGAGGTTTTCCATCTCCAGATGGGGAATGGGAGGACAGGAGTGCTGTTAGCTGAAGCATGCTGCTCCCCATGGCCCGGGACTGGTCCCAGCTCAACCACAGCCTCAGCAGCTGTCCAAACATATGTTTGCAGGGGGTGCCTGTCTCTCTATCTTGGCTGCTCGGAGAAGAAGCGACCGTTCCTGCCGTCCCCAGCGCACAGCTCCCCGCGGAGGCCGAGCTCCCGCAGCGAGTCCTACGCCAGCACGGGCCGCTCCTCCTCCGGCTCCAGCCACTCCAGCCGCTCCCGCTCCTCGCACCACAAGGCCTCCCCCAGGGACTCCCGAAGCAGGTCCTGCTCTTCAGGGAAGAGGTGAGGCCAATTCAACGGGCTGCCCTTGTGACGCCTCCCCCATGAGCCTGCATTCGGAAAAACCAGTCGCAGCCTCACCTGCAGGATCTTTAACTCTTTTTCTGGTTCTTGCCTCTCCCCAGGTCTTATTCACGGTCTCCTAGCTATTCGTCCAAGTCCTGCAAAAAAAGTCCTGGGAGCAGGAGCTCGAGGCCTCGTCGGAGCCCCAGTTACTCCCGCTACAGCCCTGGCAGGTACAGCCATCTCCTCACACTGCGTCTGATGCCTTGTGCTTTCCAGTTGCCTCTGTTGCTTGGTTGGTCTCTCGTGTACCTTCTGGTTTGTTCTGGCAGGCTCAAACTGCTCCCTCACCTTCGCCGTGGGCAATTATTTTCTGGTAACATCTCTGCTGTTCCCCACAAGCCGGCTCATGCTCCACACACTGCCTGGCTGCTGATGGCAGCAGCAGTAATTCCCCAGCTCCTGTGGGGCATGTTGTGAAAGCTTCACACTCTTAAACCATTGCCCCTGGGCATTTCCAGGGTCTCATTCCTGCAGGCTGTGACAGTCCCTGCATCCGCTGCAGGAGAGTGTATCCCTTGTGTGCCAGGATAGGGTCCTGGAGCTGGAGGGTGTCGCTTTGTGGATGGCATTGAGCAGGGAAAGGGGTGTACGAAATTCCAACCTCAGCCATTCTGTGATTCCATGAAATGAGCTACCCTCCACGAAGAGCCTGTGCTGACATGTGGGAGAATTCAACACAAAGCCATAGCAACGCCGGCACTGCTTACGGAGAGCCCTGCCGGGGCATCCCACCCCCGTGGCGCTGCGCAGCCTGGCTGCCCTACGCGGGCCCTCCGTGACGCTGCTTCTCTCCCTCTTGGCAGCACAGCCAGCAAGAGCGATTCTCGTGGAGCCGAGGAAAGGCAGAGCGCCTGCACAGAGCCGAGCCCAAGGAAGCCACGTTAGCTCAGCCACACAGGGCCACGAGGAGACACTGCTGTAGCCCTCCAGGCAGCCCCTGGTTAGCGGGTGCCTGTTTCTCAGGCAAGATGAGTGTCTCTCTGCCCAGCTCAGGGGTGTGGGCAGAGGTGATGCCGCCAGAATATTCTGCTTGGAGTAGCTCCCTTTTGGAGCTGCATGTCCTCCGCTCACCTGTTCCTGTGTGGGTGATTGCTCCCGTGTTCAAAACCCACACATGCAATTGCACAAAGCAGAGCAGTGACAGTTTCCAAACTGGTTCTTCCTTAGAGATCGTGATAGAGAGCACAAGTACAGCTCCAGTGAGAAGGAGTCGTACAGGGAGCGTGACCGGAGGCGGCGGCGGAGATCCTATTCACCCCTGAGGAAACGCAGGAGAGATTCTCCCAGCCACCTCGAAGCTCGGCGCATCACAAGGTAAGGGGACACATTCCTGTCCCTTGAAGACAAGCTGAGCTGTAGCTCCCTTGGGGGAAAATGGGATCTCCTTTGGCCCCAGCTCTCTGCAGGGAAGGCTGCTCCCCCAGCTCAGGGAGGAGACCTGTTTTCCTGAGCCAGATCAGTGTGCATTTCTGCCCCTCCAAGGGTCTGGCATTTTGCAGACAGAAGGAGAGGGAAGCAGAGATTCCCATTTATAGCAGGTGAAGAAGTTAGGACTGATAAAGTCAGAACTAGGGCTGACACATCAGATAGTGGATGCATCCTCCCCCAGACTTTCCAGGGAGGACGTTCACTGTGATAGATCTCCCACAAAGGAAAAGGAGCCAAATATGGAATGACAGAAAGCCTTGAACTTTTTTTCTCCCCGTCCCTGTGATTTCTGTAGCCCTTGAGCTGAGGCTGTTCCAAGCAGAGACCATGAGGGTGCTTGACCTCATATATGATGCTTGGGGCACATCCCAGGGCATGTCCCAGGGCCTTGGAGGTGGTTGGGATTCCCAAGGCTTATCAATGCTGAACAACTGCACAAAAGCAGAAATGCTTTCTGGAGAATTTGGCAGTGAGTCTGTATTACTGATAACTCTGGTCTCTTTTTGTCCCCGTAGTGCCCGCAAACGCCCCATCCCCTACTACCGGCCCAGTCCATCCTCCTCCAGCAGCGCCAGCAGCTATTCCTCTTGGTACAGCAGCTCTAGCCGCTCCCCGAGCCGGAGCCGGAGCTACTCCAGCTACCGGACAAGCCGGAGCCGAAGCTGGAGCAGCTGCAGTGACAACGGCAGGAGCCGCAGCCGCAGTTCGGGCCCCAGAAGCAGCCGCAGCAGGAGCAAGAGCTGTGACTCAGGAGGCAGCACCAGGAGCCTCCGTCGGTAGGGAGTGCCGGCACCGGCGCACACGCCGATGATGTCTCCAAATTCCTGGCATTCTCCGCTTCCTTCCCACCTACTTGGCCATTGATAATGATCATCCCCGACACTGATGTGGTGGCAGGGCCGGGTCTCCCTTCTGCAATTTCAAGCAAGAGCCCTCGTGCACTTGGCATGGAGCATTCCCAGAAGCAGGCAGGACCCTGCGCCGCTCTGCACAGCGTGGGAGGATGGCCCAGCTCCCCAGGCCAGCACCAGAAGGAGGATCAAGGCTCTAAAGAAGGTCTTTAATGACAGGCCTGCTCCGTCTCATCACTGTCCCTCCCATACAGCTCTCCAAGCACTAGCAGTTGGTCTAAAAGAAAAAAAACCAGCCACTTGCTATTGAGAAATCCCATCAAGCCAAGAGCCATCAAAATAATTTCCATTAGAGGGAGAGACACAGCTAGGGAGGAATTGGGTGGAAGGCTTTGGTGATGAGTGTGGTTGATCTGCTAGGGCAAATACTAAAGGCAAATTTGGGCCTCTCCTTCAGAGTTTCTGTCCGCTCTGCAGCAGGCCTCCGCTATGAGAGATTATTTATTTGTTGCCAGTCAGCCAGTCCCTGCTATAAATAGGAGGCTAGAAATTCCTCCCGACGTAATTCCTGGGGAAAAGAAAGCTAGCCCCCCTTCCTCCTGCCCTGTCGTCCCAGGCGTGGATTAGTCTGTCTGAGGGTCCTGTGTTGTCCCCTGTCAGCACTGTGGCTTTCTCAGGAGCAGTGTGGGCCTGACACCCACGCGGGGCCGGGGGGCAGAGCTGGCACCGCGCGGCGCCCCAAGGGCAAGGTGCAGCAAAGGACACGGGAGCCACGGGACCCAGGCTGGGTTTGCAGTCTAGGACGATCCCCTTGCAATTTGGGGGTCGTTTGTGTGTGCGTGGTGGGGTTTTTTTGTTTGTTTCCCAAGGGGATCCTTACCAGGGACTTCTGCCTGGCGGGTGGGACTGCAAGGGGACAGGACACGGGGATAATTGCAGCGCGATGCCCTGGCTGGGGTGGGTAGCAGCCGCACAGCCACCCTGTGCACAGTGCCAGCTCTCCCTGTCCTGCCCCGCGGGCAGAGCCAGCGCTTCTGGTCTTTGCAAGGGGCATCCCCAGGGCTGAGGCCACCCTGCCCCACGGCAGGTCTGTCCTCTGTGGCCTTTATGCTGCCGCAGCGGGAGCTGAGCCGGAGCATCTCCATCAAGCCGGAGCACACGGGGTTAACAACATGTTGCCTGAGCCAGGGAATCTCAGCTTCCCTTCCTTGTAAGAGGCAGCAATTTTAAGCAGCACTGAGGGGGATTTCAGGAAGTCATTTCTCCTTGAGCCTGGGAGCTCCCCTCAAAGGCGGGAGCAGCGGTCGCCCTGGCGCTCCCTCCTCCATCCCTCCGCATGGGGCCGGGGGTTGCGGAGCGGCCCGGCTCCCACCCGCTCTCCGGATGCTCTTCCCGTGCCGCAGGCGGCACCTGCACCCCGGGCCCTTCCTCGCTGCCAGGATGGCACCGCGGGCGGGCTCTGCTCATAGCGCCGCTTCCCGAGGACACTCACGGGTGGCCCCAGGGCTGCGGTGGCTCTGCCACCCTGGGCCCCGCGTTTTTGTCGCCGTGCCAGAGCTGCGGGCCCAGCTGCCTGAGCAATCACTGTGTTTTGCAGGGTAACAAAGGCTTCTCCCCACACAGGCTGAGCTGGTGCTGAGGAGTTTCTTTCTCTTACAACACCTGGGTGTTTGGAGAAGCTAATTTGGGATTAAGCCTTCCCTCCCTCCTTTTTTTTCCACCCCCTCCCCTTCCATCCAGCATGGTTATTAAGGAGCTGGATTTAATGAGTCAAGGAGGTGTGTCCTGTAAGTGGCACAAAGAGTGCTAAGTGGAGGCAGCATCTGCTAGAGCAGAACGAGGAGGGGTATAGAGAGACCTGAGCTTGCCCGCCCAGGTTCCTTGAACTCAGGACTAACTGCAGCCCCTGGGCTGCTGGCACTGGCAAACAGGCCAAGCTGTGCAAAGAGGAGGCCAGACACATCGTGGATCTCAATTACGTGATTATTGAGCCTACAAGGACGTGTTGTCTGTTGTGTAAGCCGTGCTGTGGTGCTCGCTGTGTCCTCGGGTGGTGCAGGAGGCAGGTTTATGTTGGGAGCCCCCCTCTGCACAGAGCCTCCCCCTGCCAACCCTTTTGGCTGTGCCTTCAGCCCCAAGAGCTGCCCCCTCTTCCTCAGACTCATCCCTTCCCGCCTTGCTTTGTGCAGGTGATTGGAGGCTGGGGACGGGGATGTGCTGCTGTGTGGGTGGGTGTGTGCACACATGGCACTGTTCAGGGCTGCCCTTCACGTTGGTGGCTTCACGTCCAAGCCTCAAGAGGCCACCTTCCCAGAGGTAGGAGAGGCCGTTCTTGGCAGGACTGAGGAAACTGGTTAAGGCTGCGGTTGAGGGCACAAAGATGGGCACCTGCTGTGCTGTGAAGAGCTTGTCTAGGCAGCAGTGGGGTGCCCTGGATGCCCTGGTCTTCTGCGGCAAGCTCCCATCTCTGTAAAGGGCTGAAAACCTTGTGCTTCTTCCCCAAAGAATCTTTCCTAGCTTGATGTCCAAATGCCCCATTCTTCTGCTTGCTGGGAAGACGTGGTCGCGCTTACCAGAGACCAACCCCCCAGCCCCAAATCTAGCGACTCTAGAGGAGTAGCCTCATGCCCGTTAGTACCCCCTGACACGCAATGAAGCAGAGAGCCAGGTGGAGGAAAGGAAGGGGAAGCTTTGTGCACCCGGTGTAAATATGAAGGCACAACATGGAGCTGAGTCCCCTGATGGTGGGGCCAGGTGAACAAAGCACGGCGTGGAGGCGAGCAGCGCACATCGACCGTGGGAAAAGAGCCGACAGCGAGCGCCGCGCCGAGCTCTGTACCAGGCTGCTGCTCTGCGCTCTGAGGACTGCCCCTCATCTACAGTCAATGGCAGCTAAACCCTCCTGGGCTTTCCCGGTTGGACTTGCATTGGAGTAAACCTCTTAAATTATTTATTTATTACTATTATTATTATTATTCTATTTTTAATTTTATGTCAGAAGGGATGCAAGCGGTCGCCGGTAGCAGTATTTATTTATTCTGTTTTTGGGGGAACAATAAGTTATTTTTGGATCTGTTTGTTTGTTTGAATGTATCCACGTCCCTGTTCATGCCGGAAGGTCTGCAGCGCTGGCCCGCGAGCCCTGTGCCCCTGGGGCGGGTGGCTGGAGAAGGCACCGCAGCTCCTGGTGCAGCCTGTGGCCAGGCACTGCAGTGACCGGGACCACTCACTTGTGCTCCCCAGAGCAAGATGGAAAATGCATCATGGTCTAAGGCAGGCAAAGGAGAAGGGAGTGTGGTTCGTTGTTTGCTTTCCTGTTAAAAATCTTGAGGGGTTTTGTTAAATTTGTCCTGGGAGCTGGGAGCAGAGCTTCTCGGATCCCGTGCAGGAAGCCGCAGGAGCCCTGCAGCCCCCCTGCCTCCGTGGCTGAGCGGACGAGCAGAGGGATTTGCAGCGCGGCGAAGGGAAGCCTCGCCGGCCCGCGCGCGTGCTCGCGCGGCGCGGCTGCCAGTTGGCTGGCACTGCTGTTTCCCTTGGCTCTCTGAGCCAGGGCACAACCCGAAACCCCGCTCCGCCGAACGGCGCTGCTGGTTTCCCTGGGCGGCTGCGTCGCCAGGACTCCCCAGTGTTTGTTATGGAGGGACGACCCACCCTTGAACACTACAGACACGAGAACAACCTGTACTGAAAACGCTCGCAAAGCCCAGTCTCCAGTGGCAGGGCCTAACCAAGTACGTGCACATATAGATGTGTGTCTGTATATGTATACGTGCATGTTTATATGTGTATACACGTATATATTTTTTTCCCTCAGTGATGATGTTTATTTCTTTATTTTTTAAATTATTTATAATTTGCAGAATGATCCAAATTATCGTCCTCCCTGTTGGATGACAATTGAATTTCCTGCCTGTTTGTGAGAAGCCCATGAGCTTTTCCATCTCTGTGCCTTTTGCCAGTGCTCTGGTTTTGTTTTGCTTTTGTTTCTTCTTTATTTTTAATGTTGTTTCACTCATTTGTTGCTTTTAAGGAATTTTTGCTCTCCACCTGGTGTCTCAGATGGCTGCTCTCCTGCAGCAGAAACACGATGTGGTCGTTTCAGTGTGTGCACATCGCTGCTCACTTGAGGCTGACCAGTTGCTCCTGAGCTCGAGGCATGCCCAGGAACATCTGCAACCTCAGAGAGAGCAAAGCAGCTTCAGGGAAACATCTCAGATGTCTTTTGGAAGGACTGTCTTGGAGGGTTTTTCTTTCTCCATTCACAAGGGTGCTTTCCTGCCCATAATTTTGTTTCCGTCTCCCTGAATGCCCTGGTTGCCTTTCCATGGCAGAGCACGGGACCATGCGCTGCGTTTTGCTGTCCCGGCTGCCAGGTACTGCAGGGACAATTGTTCAGCTTCAAATGTCTCCCAGGAACCTGGGATTCCTGGCACTGCTCTCACCTCTCGCTGGATCCTTCCTTGTCCTGACACCTGTATGAGGCCAGTTTCCCCACTCCAGCAAACCCAGCACGGTCTCTGCAGCAAGGTCGCTGAAAAGCAAGGATGAGAGGCATTTCCAAGCTCTGCTGTGTACCTCTTTTCTTCAAGGGTTACAGCACTTGGTCGTTCTTTGCTTTATGCTGATTGCAACATTTTTCAATGTGTTTTTTGTTGTTTCGGGGGACTTAAGTTGTACCAAACTGTTGTTTGCAATAGCCAATCACTGTTATTTTGCTATGCATTGTACATATATTGAAAAGGCTGAAAGGACTTGGCCTGTTATTTAATATTTATTTCTTCTATTTATTGAGCATTACTTAGAGCTGTTTGGGTCTTGCCGCTGGGGTCATGACAACAGGAGCCCTTCCTACTGAGATGGTACCATATACACTGGAGAGAGGTTATCAGAGAGGCAAGTTGCTGGGGAGGTATCTGGCAAGGACAGGAGGCTTATATGAAGCTCAGCCTCCAGTAATTTAGGGAGAAACCTCATTTAGATGGAAATGAACAGAGCAGGAGAAAATCCTCCATCCTTTTGCACCAGTTTCTGTTAACAAATCACCGTTCCTTGCAGGGCCTCTAGATATTTGGAAGCGACACGTCAGCCTGCAACTGCAGCGCTGCTGGAGAAGGCAAACTTGCTCCTTGTGCTCTGTGCTGTAGAGTGCAGCTTGGATTGCCAAAGATACCCCCATGATCTGTGGGTTCTCCCCACTGATCCCTTCATGGCTCCCGGTGGTTATTGTGGGGCAAGGCGAGGGTTATTGCCCCTTCATCGGTGTGAGGAAGAGCTCAGGCTAGGCGAAGTGGCACCGCACACTTCTGCCGGGCGCTGAAGCAAAGCCCTGGGATGTCCACCCCGTTGCAGTCTGGAGCCGGTGTTCCTTGTGTTGTGCCCCGCTTTGCTTCATTCCCAGAGCTTGGTGTTTTAAGCAGGAGCTTTCCCCAAAAGGGACCTTGGGCAAGGTGACCATGGCAGGAACTGAGAGGCCTCCTGGACCTCCTCTGAAGCACTACAGTGAATGGGAGCTTCCCTCAGGCCTCCTCACCCTGGTTTGAAACAAAGCATGGAGCACACCAGAACCAGGAGTGGTTTCACTGTAACTCCATGAAGATACAGCAGTCTCTGTGGTAGCTGGAATGCGCCGCACTTGGCCCTTCCCGGCCCAATGCCCAAGGTTCAGCTTCTGTCAGGAGTTCAGGAAGCAGCTGAGCTGGAAGTGGGAAGTGGGCTGAGCTCCTCCTGGGACACCACCAGGAGCAGTGGGAAGCCCTGGGCAGACTACTCGTTTTAGCAAGAGCTGAGTTTAGGTGACAAATTGAAGACTTTGCCCTTTAGCACCCCGTGGGTTTTATTACTTCCTTACTAGAGAATAAATGATTCCTATGACATTTGCTGCTACCTGGAAGTTCGCACACAACCAGGAGGCTTCTGGAAGCACTGATGCTTCCACTGGGGTAAGCAAAGCTCTGTATTAAGACGTCCTGCTTGGCTTCTTAGGAGACAACAGGTGGTTTTGGCTGGAAGCCCTTGGTTACTGGTGCAAGGATGTCAGCTCCAGAGGTCCAGGGCACTGAATCTTGCATAGGAAAGCTGAGTCACTGATTTTGGGGCTGCTCCTCAGAAAACAACCTCCTGAACCTCCTTAGCCTGGATCCTTAGCGCCCCAGTGACAGGTCTCCGTGTGTGACTGCCAGGAATTGGGAAGGCATAAGATGAAGCCAAGACGGGAGAAAAGCCTCTAGGGAAATGGCGTCTCTGTTCTTCTTGCCTGTTGGTCTATTCCTTACCAAATTACACCAGCGCATCCGTTCATTTGACTTCATTGTGAAACTCCCTTTGGTCGCCTTTGAAACGCGTTCTGTATTCTTTAGTCTTCCTGAGGTATTTAAGTTGTTAGCCTGTTTAGCAAATGGGTCCAAATAAAGGTTCAGACGGTATGAGTGACCCGCGTTTGCTTTCCTCCCCGCTGCTCCTTCCCTCACTGCCCTCCCGGGGCCGGAGCCGTGAACACGGGGAAGCGGAGCAGCCCGGCCCTTGCAGGGTGAACTGCGGGTGAGCTGAGCCTCTCCGGCCACGCAGGGCCCGAGGTGGGCATGCAGTCACTGGAGCTGACGTGGCGACTCCGGGAGGCTATCGGGAGGAGTGGCGTGACAACAGGAGCTAAATCGGGATGGCTTGGAGGGGAAGTGTGACTAATGGGGATAAACAGGGAGAGCGGGAGGATTCCTGGCTGGGGAGGGAGCACGGCCTGGAGCTAAGAAGGGAAACACTGAGCTGGAGGAGCTGGGAGGCACCTGCTGGTGCAGCACCCATGGCCGCGGCACCTGCCTTGCCCCTTCAATCAGGACACCTGGGAGCCTGGACAGCCTCCGTGCGGGCTCCCCGTCCCCGCCATGATCTGGGATCCGCTGTCCACTGGGAAGTGGGGAGCCGCAGGGCGGCCCAGCACCGCTCCCGCCCCGGTAACGCCACGTCGGGTGGCATGAGTCATGCCGGCCCGGGCAGCGCACGGCCAGCCTGGCACTGCGGCCATCCCGATGTCATTAGAGGCCTTCGGGGAAGCTCCGGGTGCCATGGAGGAGCGGGGCTGCAGGGCTTCCCTCGCCAGCGGGAGGGCGGCATGGCAGCCAGCGGGCGCTCGCCTGCTCGGCCCGCTGCACCGGCTGCCGGCCCTGTAATTAGTGCTGCCGCCGCGCCCGGCTCGCCCATGGTGCTCACGGCAGGGCCGGCGCGCCTCGGGGAGGAAGGCTAAGGAGGAGGAGGAGGAGGCGGTGCGCCATGGTGGGGGGATGGCCATGCCCTTAGAGCACGGTGTAGGGAGGGAATGGTGCCGCCATCTCGAAGGAGCAGCAGCAGCGTGAGGGATGGCACCATCCTCGCCAAGGGAATGGTGGTGATGTCTCGAGGGAAAGGCGGCGCCGGGAGGGAGCAGTGCTATTGCCGGGAGGAAGCAGCAGTGTCGCCATGAGGCGAGGCGGGCAGCACGAGGCCTTGGCAGAACCCTGAAGCCCTGGCACTGCCGCAGCATGTGGATGGTGCCGCCATGGCGAGGGCATGGCAGTGCCGAGAGGGCCCGGCCCCACGCCGGCTCCAGCCGGGAAGCGGCAGCGTCACGGGTGCCGCGTGGCCCCCCGCAGCACACGGCAGCTCCCCCGGGATTTAGGGCACGTCCCAGTAGTCACACATGGCCGCGCACCCCGCACCGGTACCAGCCGGAGTGACCCACTTCCCACCGCGCAGCGCGCTGCCAACCCGCCGTGCCTCGCGGTGAGGGGCCGCAGCGCGGGCGGTATTTTTGCAGGGTGACAGCGGGGTGAAAGCAGCTGCCCTGGAGCCGGGCGGGTATTTTTAGCGGGCCGGGGGGCAGGTGCCGCCGCGCCAGGGGCCAGCGGGAGCCATCAGCTGCTGCCGCCCGGATTCTCCCCGTCTGTTTCATCCGCTCCAAAATACTCTTCTGACGGGGCAGGATTGCAAAACACCCCCTCCCACCCCCCGCCACCAAAATACATATAAATAGCGCCGGCCCCACGCCCAGGAGCTTGGAGAAGTTTCTCGGCTCCGTGCGGGAGCTTTTATTGCGGCTCCTGCCGGGGCAGGTGGGGAGAGCCGCGTGGGGCAGCAAGAGGGCCAGGACAAAATCAGCTTTTGGGGAGTTATCTTTTGTGTTTTTAGTTTTACTCCGTGGCTCGCTGAGAAGTTCTACCTCCCTCTCCCCGGACCCTGGGCCGTCAGCCAGACAGGAAGCGTTTTCCTCACTGCCGCCCGCCTGGAGAAATCCCTCCCGCCTCCCTGTGCTCTTCCACCTCGGCTGCTACAGCCCCGCATCGATCTTGCTATTTTCTTTTCTTTTTTTTTGTTTTAATTATTCATCTCGTCCTTCCGGAGAGAGGGAGGATCCCGCTGCCGCCGCCACCTCGGAGCCGGAGCCCTCCCGGCGCGCAGCGGATGCCTCTGCGGCTCCCCGGCCAAGGGCGCGCGCGGGAGCAGCAGGGAGGCGAGCGCTGAGGGCGCAGCGGCCGGCCTCGCTCACGGCCTTGTGCTTCGTCCCCGCACCGCCGCCATGGCCGACAGCCAGATGCCCTTCTCGTGCCACTACCCCGGCCGCCGCAGCGTCCGCGACCCCTTCAGGGAGCCCGGCTTGACCTCCCGCCTGCTGGACGATGACTTCGGCATGTCGCCCTTCCCCGGGGACCTCACGGCGGACTGGCCCGACTGGGCTCGCCCGAGGCTCACGACCACCTGGCCGGGCCCGCTGCGCGCCGGCATGGCCCGCGCCTCGGCCATGGCGCCCGGCTACAGCGCCCGCTTCAGCGGCTACCCCGAGAGCCGCAGCCCAGCGCCCTTCTCCCGCGAGCCCTGGAAAGTCTGCGTCAACGTGCACAGCTTCAAGCCTGAGGAGCTCACGGTCAAGACCAAGGATGGCTACGTGGAGGTGTCGGGTGAGCGGCGGCCAGGGGAGGAGGAGGAGGGATGAGTTAGGAAAAACTAAATCCTGCCCCAAACCTGCTGCAGACTCCAGCGCCAAATGCAAAGAGCAGCTTTAGTTTAGCCCAAGGTGCCGGCAGCGTCGGCGCGCGCTGCCAGGAGGGGCCCCGCTCGCGGCGGTTAATTATAGCGCGCGCCCCAGCGCGGCTCTCGGCACCGAGATTCCCTTTAAAGGGGTCGAGCTGCTGCGCGAGGCGCCCGTGCGTCTGCCGCCGCTGGCACGCGCCCTGCCCGCGGCGGCGGCGGCGGCGGGGCGGGCAGCGACGGGTTAAAGGGGTGATTTATTTACTGATTGATTTTAAAGCCTGGCGGAAACGAGGCAAAGAGAGGGCCTCGCAGGAGAGGGCATCGTGAGCGAGTGGTCAAGCTGAGGGCCAAGAGGCGCAGGAGAGGCCGGGGCCAGGCCGGGAGCCCCGTCCTGTCGCCTCCGCACAGGCTTCAGCCCCGCGGCGGCGCCGGGCCAACCTGCGGCCTCACAGCGCCCGTGAAATTTGACCGCGATTCCCCAGCCTTAAAATTATCAGGTTCCCGGGAAAAGGCACAGGAGCAGCGGCAGCAGCAGCTGGCGGCAGCAGAGCCAAGCAGAGATGTTATCGCGGCTGGGATATTTTCTTAAGGTGCAGCTTTTGGCAGTGGGTGATTAAGCGAAACCCCAGGCTTTTCCTGGAGATAGTGGGAATTGTCAGGAAAGCGGCCCCCCACCTGCTCGCAGGGGCTTGGCAAAGCAGGGAAGGACCAGGTGTTTTATAGCACTGCTGTGGTTTCTGCAGCTGATCTCGTGGTTTCTGGGGTCTGAGCCACCATCTGAGTCACGGGTTTAAATCAGGCTGGCGGGTCAGGTATGCGCACGGCGCTGATTAAACCCGGCCAGAAAGGGAGCGCGCCAGCCCTGGGCTCGCCACGCGGGCCGGCGGTAGCCCCAGCCTCCGGCGCAGCCCTGGCCCGAGGAGGTCCCTGAAGGAGGGACGCTGCCTCCTGGGCCGCGCGCTGGCCTCGCCGCCGCAGCGCGGCTCCTGCGGGCAGCGATCCGGGTGCGGGTGGCTCCCGAACCACGGCGAGCGCTGCCAGGGGATGCGGTGTGGTTTCTAACCTGCGGCAGCTCACACTGGCATCACACAGGGACGCAGCCGGGCTTGTTTCCCAAGATCGTGGCCAAAGTGGCTTTGGGGGAGCCACGTCCCCCTGAGTGGCATCTTGACCCTCCACCCGAGCCTGGAGGACTCGCTCCAAGTGGTGCCAACCTCTCCAAGCAGCCTGGCTCCCTCCTCCTCCTCCTCCACTCACCTCAGGGAGATGTCGGCTCATGGTGCTGCCTGAAATTGTCTCAATTTCCCTTCCCCATTTTTTCTCTTCTTTTTACCCAAGACAGGGAATTTATGATCATTTATTATATAGCCAGAGCCTTTTCGCCACAGCACAGCGGGAAGGATCCTGCCCCTCCCAGCCCAGCTTGCAGCATGTGGGGAGCTGGAACATGTCAGCTGAGAAGCAGCATAGGGAGGATCCAGGGGAGCGAGCCTGGTCGCAGGGTGGTGTCATCCCAGCGGCAGCCTCAAACACTGGGAATGTCTGAGACAGGGGGAGGCTCCTCCACCAGAGTTAGGGAGCTGCTTCTTCCCACGGTGCCTCTAGGCTGCTAGACTCGAGCATTAACAATCTGGGAGGACTTAAGCTTGTTTTTTCCTGACAGTTTTCTTTTTCCCAGAAGGTCTCCTGCTGGCAAGTCCAGGGAGAAATTCCCTGAATGACCAAGAAAGGGAGGGTTTTCCACTTGGAAAAAGAAAACAATTTCAACCTATTGGGAAAAATATCCCCATCAGATGCTAACGTGGACTATTCCCATTCCCTCCAGGTAAACACGAGGAGCAGCAGATGGAAGGAGGAATCGTCTCCAAGAACTTCACAAAGAAAATCCAGTACGTATCCCAGACAGAAACGGCTTCAGTGCCGACCTGTACGTAGGAAAGCTGGGGAGTGTCCCCGCCCCGGGAGCGAGAAACGCTCTCTGGCCAGCTGTTAAATCCTGCTGCTCCCCGCAGCCTAGTGGAGACAGAGACTGGGCTCAAATGCTGTTGAGAGCAGTGGGAGTCGGGGCAGAGCCTCTCTCCTGTGGGCTTTGAAGAGCAGCCTGCAAGTGAAATTTAGGTTATATTTGGGAGTCTGGGGACCAGGAATCCATTCCCCACTCCACCACCGAATTGAGAGGCTACTTAGCTTGTCTTGCCTCTGCTCTCCTGTCTGCAAAACAAGCAGTCTGCCTCCCCGGCATAGTAAACCCTTAAAAACCACAGGGTAAGTTGCCTGCAGAAGCAGCAAAGAGCAGGCGCCGAGTCTTGCAAGTCGCAGGGCGTCTCCTCCCCTCTCAGCCACAGTCTGAGGGCTCCTTTTGAACCTTATTTGTGGGCACCTGCACTCCGTTGTGTGTCAGCAGGGGATGACCTGCAGGTTGCAGCTTGTGTGGCAAATATCCCTCGCAGTGCCAGGCAAGTCAGAGCGCAGTAAGGCCTGGCAAGTCACGGGGTGCATGCAGATGGTGCTCCAAGGGCCTCAACTGATAATATTTCCTTTGATGCTTGTGGCTGCTGCCAATGAAGACTCATAATTTGGGGCAAATATGTTCCTAGCTCATTATTTGGGGCAAATATGTACCTTAGCTCAGCCTGTACAGAGTGGTTTCCCAGTGAGGGCAAAGCAGGAGATGTTTTCCTATGTGTTTATTTAGCCTCTTTCATGTCTCAGGCTGTATTTTGGAGTCAGCCAGGATGAGGGAAAGCAGAATAGGGATGTAAGGTGCTGCTCTCAAAATGCCAGCACATCCTGCAGGCTTTAACAGGATGCAATGGGCTGAAATCATCTTCACACTCAAAACACACACACATATATTTATATATGTGTATATCGATTTATCTGTATGTGTATATATAAATACATATATGAATGAAAGCCAATTAGATTGCTATCGCTTTGGCTCACAGAAATGGCTCGTTTGGTGCAGGCAGAGAGGAAATGAGAGTCCTGAGGCAGGGAAGCGCCGCGGCGCGTCCCTCGCCGGGCGAGCCCGGAGCCGCGCGGTGCCGCCTCGGGGTAAATCCCCGTGCCGTGGGGGCCCGAAGCAGCAGCAAACACGGATGGCTCAGGTTGCCAGCGCTTCAGCATTCGCTTTCCCCCAGCCCCAAGTAATTCCTCTGCATCCCCCCCTTCTCCCAAAGTCGAGCCCTGTGGAAAGCCGCGCTTGCCCAGGCCTGGGAGTGCAGCCCCGCGGGCGCAGCGCTCCCTCCCTCGCCTCGTAGCCAGCAGCTCCTTAGGAGGCAGCCGCCGAGGCTCCTTTTACGGGCAAGGCTTTTGCCGTGACGCAGGCTCTAACACACAGATGATTTACTCATGCGCTGCAGAAGCTCAAGCGCCACAAGCTGTGAGTGACATCCAGTCAAACATATCTGCCGAGGAGATTAAACAGAGAGCCCAGCAGCGGCGAGACAGGGCAGGCGACTGCTTTAAATATCCCCAGAGCGCTCCCGGTTGCACCAATAAGCACACTGGGCTGGGGAGAGCGCGCACAGCGGGCGGATGGGCAGGCGGGCGCTGCTGGAGCGCTGCTAATCCGGCAGCAACCATTTTCCGCAGCTCGGGCTTCCCAGAGCTGCTTGCAAGCGTGACTAGAGCCCCCTTCCCAAGGGCAAGGGTGCTGGTACCGATGGAGATGGAGGCGGGGATAGAGAGGGAGAACCCTTGGCAGGAGCTTTGTGCGGCTCCTGCCGAGCACGGAGCAGGAGGTGACTGAACTGCTGCTTCTGGGTGAAAGCCTGGCCAGACCCTGGTGTCTGAGGGCGAGCATGACCGTCCCTGCACATCTGCTCTCTGCCAGTGCCCTTTGTGTCCAGTGTGCTGGGATGACCTTCTCCTGTTCCCCAGCTGCATTCAGCAGCTCTACAGCCCTCTCTGGGCATCCCCATCAGGGATGCGCGGTGGATCCACGGCTGCAGGGATGCACAGGGCATGTGTGTGCGGCCCTGGGAAGCTGCTATAACCTGTCTCATGTCTCTGTCCCCCTCTCCAGGCTCCCCTACGAGGTGGATCCCATCACAGTGTTCGCCTCCTTATCTCCGGAGGGGCTGCTGATAATCGAAGCGCCCCAGATCCCCCCCTACCAGCAGTACGGAGACGGCAGCTGCGGCAGCGAGATCCCCATCGACAGCCAGGAAGCGACCTGTGCTTGAGGCAGCCGTCCCCGCTCTCCTTCCCTCCGCACCCCTGGGTTTCTCCTCTCTCCTCTCCCTCCATGCAAAGATTTCTCCCTGGCTCCAGCCTCAGTTGCATTAGCAGGACGAAAGTGTTTTCTGAGCGAGGGATCTCCCCTCCGGCAGCCCCCTAGCCCAGCGACAAGCGAGCAAGGGAAGGGATGCAGGGCACAGTCAGGTCTCGGCACCCCCACGGCAGCCCCGGGGCACCGCTGCCTCTGCCAGCGCCCGTCGCTGATTCTTCTGACGTGACCCAGCACCCGGGGTGAGGAAGTTGCTTTCACGAGACGCAGGCAAGGGCTGGAAAGCGCTGGCAGCCTGGGCTCTGCTGCTGGCTCCTGCCCAGCAGGGCCGTGTTCGAACCAGGGCCTGCGGCTCCTGTGCTCTGACTTCTCCCTTCAACACATCCGCTTGCCAACAACCACCCAACAAGGCCACAGTTTCACCGAGGCTTTATAGAGGTCTTATGTGCTCCAGTAGAATTTATCTGTATATCAGACCGAACAAAATAGATGTCTTCATTAATATCCTTGTTTTGCTATTGGATAGTAGGATGGGATATTTATAACAATAGCAAGGAAAGGTACCCATTTCTTCTCTTAAATTTAAGTGGGATCCTGTGTCTTTCTCTTCTCTATTCATTTTTCTTTTTAAACTACATGTCTGAACAGCCTCTTGCCAGCATGAAGATGAGTGTCTGATGCAGAGATTGCCAAGCCTGGTAAACCCCCGGGCCTCCTTAGAAATGTCACTGTCCGCGTGGTCTGAACGTGTTTCTTTTTTTTTCCAAAGGGAACTTGTGCTTTTCTGTGACAGACTTGAGGAATAAAGATGAGTTGACGTTCTTAGCCTCCGTGTCTCTCGCTCCTGAGGCTTCGGGGCGAGGTGCAGACAGGCTCCGTGGGAGGAAGGAGAGGCCAAGAGCCTCTCACACGGCGGGAGGAGAGGACCCCAAAGGGGCTGGAAACGCCCTCTGTGCCCTGGGGAGGGCTCCTGGGTTCTTCCTCCCTGCGCAGGGCTCGCAGATGCGTTTTCCGCTTTGGGATCAGCCCCCAAGGTGTGACAAGCTGGGCTTGCTGCACGCTGGCACCGCAGCCGCTCACGCAGACCGCACGCCCACAGCGCTGGCGCTCGCGGCTGCTCGCGGGGCTGCAGCGCGGAGCAGGGCGCTACACTGTGAGCATGGAGCAGGGCGCTACACCGCGACCACGGAGTAGGGTGCTACACTGTGAGCATAGAGCAGGGCGCTACACCGTGACCACGGAGCAGGGCGCTACACTGTGAGCATGCAGCAGGGTGCTACACTGTGAGCATGGAGCAGGGTGCTACACCGCGACCACGGAGCAGGGTGCTACACTGTGACAGCAGAGCAGGGCACTACACCGTGACCGTGGAACAGGGCACTATACCATGACAGCAGAGCAGGGTGCTATACCGTGACTGTGGAGCAGGGCACTACCCCATGACCAGGGAGCAGGGTGCTACCCTGTGACCGCAGAGCAGGGTGCTACACAGTGACTGTGGAGCAGGGCACTACCCCATGACCAGGGAGCAGGGTGCTACCCTGTGACCGCAGAGCAGGGTGCTACACCGTGACTGTGGAGCAGGGCACTACCCCATGACCAGGGAGCAGGGTGCTACCCTGTGACCGCAGAGCAGGGTGCTACACCGTGACTGTGGAGCAGGGCACTACCCCATGACCAGGGAGCAGGGTGCTACCCTGTGACCGCAGAGCAGGGTGCTACACTGTGGCTGTAGAGCAGGGCACTACACCGTGACCGCAGAGCAAGGCACTACCCTGTGAGAGCAGAGCAGGGCACTACACCGTGACCGTGGAACAGGGCACTATACCATGACAGCAGAGCAGGGCGCTACACTGTGACTGTGGAGCAGGGCGCTACACTGTGACCAGGGAGCAGGGTTCTATCCTGTGACCGCAGAGCAGGGTGCTACACCGTGACCGTGGAGCAGGGCACTACACCGTGACCGCAGAGCAAGGCACTACCCTGTGAGAGCAGAGCAGGGCACTACACCATGACCGTGGAGCAGGGCGCTACACCGTGATTGCAGAGCAGGCGTTACGCTGTGGCCGCGGAGCAGCCCAAGAAGCCTCTGTCGCAAGGTGCATCGCAGAGCCCCAGGCTGTGTCCCACGGGCCAGCAGCAACGCGGCTTCTCATTAAGCAGGAGGCAGCCACAAAGGCGACGCTTGGCGTGTCCCAGGGGGCCGGGCAGGAGCCTGTTGGTCCCGTTGGGATGGACCTGCCAGGTGTCCCTGCTTCCCCCAGCCACTCAGGCGGTGACAAGTTGTTGGACGGCTTCTGTCTCAGCCCCTTTGCAGGGACAACCTGCGCATCCCGGGTTTGCCTTGTCCTACGTCACCCAGACCGCGAGTTCCTGTCCCCAGCGGCTGCTTCCCCCTGCTCTTCCCACTGGGCTGCCTGGGGCCTCAGCATCAGAGGCCTGGAGGAGGAGGAGGAGGAAGAAGAGGAGAAGGAGGAGGAAGGCTGAGTGCTTCAGGTGCACAGCTGTGGTTTTCCACCCTTGAGGTCACATCCTGATGATGCTGTTGCCAAGGCAGCTGCATCGCCCTCCCTCAGGCTCTTCCTGCTCGAGGCAGCACAGAGCGCATGGAGACACGGCCAGGATCGGGGTTCCTCAGCTGCCCTTTGCGTCAGGGGGAGGAACCTGGGAGCAAGAAAGACCAGGCTTTGCCCTAACACTGCACTGGTGTGGGGGCTGCTGAGGTCTGCCACAGTGCCACACGGCTGCTCGTAGCACCCGGGCACAGCTGGCCTGGGGTCCAGCACAAATGTCCACGCTGCAAATGTCACAACTGCCTACAGGCAAAAAGCAGCTCCTAGTGACGGGAGCTTTGGAGCTCCTTCAGGCCACAATGGTGGTCCCCAACACCCACCTGCCCCTCTTCCCTGTGGCTCCCAGACAATTATCCTGTGTAACGTGGGGAACGGGCTGCAGCTGCAACCCCAGTGCTGATCCAAGGGTACATGGGGAGGCTGCTGGGCTGAGGCAGAGGCTGGTGGGTGCCTGGGCTGAAGATAAGGGGAGATGCAGCCTCAAGGACCCCGGCAGGCACCCTGGTAAGGGCCCAGCCACTTGGCGGGCACTGATGGGGAGCGTGTGGCTGTGCCCTGGGGACCCTGCTTGATGGTGCAGGCAGGGAAAGCTCTTTCCCTCCCCATCCTGTTCTGTGTTGTCTTTGCCTCTGCTTCCTGCTGAAATCCTTTGGGAGCTCCTGGACCACGTGCTGAAAAATGTGGTGACTCCTTGGCAGCTGAGGCTAGTGATGAGCATTGCTGCTCTCCAGCACCACCTTGGCCTTGGGACCCAGCAGGGAGCGGCTTCTTGAGGCAGCAGGCCTTGTTGTGCAGAATATTATAGATTCCTGAAATGCCTATTAGGGAATATCTGCGGTTTATTTAAGTAGTACCTGATTGCTAAACTGGTGGAGAGGTTTTAAAAGGAGAACTTGCCACTGGGACGTGGCAAACGCGGCCGGCCTGGGGCTGCTGGTGAGTGGAGCGCAGGTGCTGGTGATTGTGCCCAGCCCTGGCACAGGGGCTGTTTTGAGCTGTACCATGATGCCCTAACGGCCCCTCTGCCAATTACCTTACATTCTATGGGCTTTGAGCAATTACACAGCACTTTATGGTGTCACAGCATATTACGTTTTATAGCTTGATATCCACTTTAACGCAGAGGTACCTCTGTGCAGGATCTCAACAAGGAAGGGGTTTCTCAGGCCTGGGGAGCACCTGGCTTTCTGTGACGGAAAGCCCTGGGCTTGGGGGCTATGGCATCGTGCTTGGGACACTTTTGCTCTCGCCCACGCTGGAATGGGCTGGAAGGGGATCTGAAGGGAGCTATGGCACTACCAGAGCAGGTGTCCCCTCATCGTGACCATGGTGTTGAGCAGATGCAGTCATCTCCACCCAGGAACCATGTCCACTGCTGAGCACTGCAGCACCTCATGCCATGGATGTTCCCCCCAGATAAGGTGCCTTTTTGTGTTTAAACCTGCTGCCTAGATTGGTGTAGGTTTTTATCTTGGTTGTTTTTGTCAGTCGTTAAAGCAAGGTGCGAACCCCTCAGGTAATTATGGGCCGCCTTTCCCTTGGAGTGAAATGCTGCAGAGTAGCCTCCTGCCTCCTGAACAACTGCTCTGTGCTGAGCCCATCCTGGAGGAAAGTCAAATTCAGTCTTAATTTTCTTCCCCTATACTGCAACAAAAAGCCTCCTATCTGAGAAGGCCTTGGAAATCTCTCTTCATTAAGAGACCTCCTTGAAACGCATTATAACCACTGAGGAGGGTGGTTATGCAGCATACAAAGCCTGCAGAAGAGCTCATTAAAACAATAAATTAGGACTAATTGGAATAAATCAAGCTAAATCGTCTCCAGCATGAAGGTAAAATGAGGTGTGAGGGGATTTAATAAGGCCGATGCCAATCCCAGGTTCCTCTCTGAAGAGTGGGGAACCCACTGTGGCCCCCGGCCCTGCGTTTAGCACCGGGGCACAAAGCTCAGGCCGAGGTAAAGCATGGCAAATTCTAAGTTCCCCAAGGTGAGCAGGCTGGGCTGTCCCTGATGGCAGCGGATGCAGGGTGAAGGCAGTGGGTAGTGGCACTTGGCTCCGCTCACACGGTCCGTCCTCTCTCATCTGCACTGTCCAAAGTGGCTCTGGGGTTTTGCTCGTGTCTGTTATGGCTTTCTTAGGTGAAGCTGAAGCCAAAAGGCTCCTGTGCGCAGCAAGTGAGAGCCTCGTGACCACACTGGCTCCGAGTCGATTCTCCTCACCCTCCTGGGCAGTGCTCGCCACCCCTCCGTGCTGGCCCCAGCCGTCAGCACAGACCTGCGCTGCAGGGAGCAGAAGACCTTGAGCAAGGGCAGGAGTGCTGGCCTGCTCCACGGCCACGGTGAGGGTCACCCTGGTCCTTCGCCCGCTGGGGGAAAGCTTGGCTTCCACAGGCACGTGAGAAACGCCCAAGTGCTGGGTAGGGAAGTGCTCTGAGCTGCCAAGGCAACAGGCTTCATGCTGGAGCTGCTTCTGCATGGGTTGCTCTCGGCTTTCTGCCCATGGGAAGCTCCTGAGAGGAATTTGGCTCTTGGAAATCTTCAGTGGGAAGGAAAACACGGTTTTCTTGGAAAAACAACACAAAACTGGAATAGAAATGGGGAGAAGAGGAGCAAATCCCCACGAATGGAAGCTCTGGGCTGGAGGGGGATGGATGCTCCCACCAGCGCTGGAGAAATGCACCAGCATCATTATGTTTAAATGATGAGCTCCGGGCACTGATAACGATACTTCATGGATCTAATTTTTCTGATGATCATGCTTTTGTGTACCGCACTGTACATCATTAATAACCTTCTTCAAACATCCTTGCTTTCCCTGTTACTAATCTTGTTCAAGCCCTCCTTTTGCCCAAGCCCAGTTAGCTGCCTGCAAAGAGGATCTCCACCCATGAGGAATTTCCATCCGTGCTGAGAGGCAGATGCTGGGAACCCTGGTGACCTGCAGTGGTGGCCTGTAGGCAAAGGTGATGCAGCTGAAGGATGCTGCCCCTGTTTGGAGCTGGATAACGAACACGGTGTGGACATGGGCGTGTGTTTCCTGAGAAAATACTGGGCCCTGCACTTGAGTTTTGTTGCTTGACGGCACCTGCTGGTGCCCCATGCACTGAGGAACAGGAGGGTCGGAGCCTTCCCCAAACCCTCTCTGGAGCCTGACTTTGCCCTTGGGAAAAGCAGCCAAATTCGGCTGCTTATCTCCTCCTTCCTGCCTGCCGCCTCCTTCCCACCCCTCCTTGCAA